TCAGATTTCCTGTCGTAGCGTCCGAACCCATCCCACAGTGGGTTCTTTAGGTTGAAGTCTCCTGTCAGAACCACCGGGTGGCTTGGCTTGGCCGCCCTTGGAGGGCTCTCGGTACGTTCTCGCCGGCGAGGGGGTTGTATATGGACCAAAGCTCGAATCCGCGCCTTTCCCTTCCGAGGTCCGCCTCTGGGAACCACATGCGGCACCAATTCTCCGTGGCTTCGGAGTCCCACTGCCTGACTTCAAATCTTTTGCTTACATATACTGCCGCCCGCCCCTCGAGTTTATGTACCAGGTGGTATCTGCTGCTCCCGGCGCAGTATGTGGATTTTGTCGTCTTGTTGATCCACGGTTCTTGCACCGCCAAGAGGTCATATTTGGCCTCTTCCAGCAAGACTTCCAGTGTTTGCTTGTTTCCTTCGGTGTTCCAGAGTAAAATTTTTATTTTCATCGCCTGCGACGGTAATTGAGTCCATCGTGGTGTCTCCCTCGGCGTCGCGTTGGTTCGGAGTGGCAGTGACCGCAGGGTTGGCGGCGGCGGTAGGCGTTGGTCCGGTAGCCGGCTCGGGCGCTCGGGGCGGCAGGGCGGTGGTGTCGACACCGCTGACTACCAGGCTTGCGAATCGCACCCTCGGCGTCTCGAAGTTGATCCTGGTCTGCTGGGGGTCTAAGAGAGCCTGACGTTGGGCTGCAGCCACATTCGTCGGTCTTCCTCTCAGCCTCTTCCTGCCTACCACCTGGTAGCTGTCGTCCTCCCTCTCTTCAGCGCCGAAGCTGAACGTGGGGGCGCTCGTGTGAGTCGCGATGGCAGAGATCGTGGTTGCGGTCTCGTATGTCCGTGGTCGGAATTGGTAGGCCTCCTTGGCCTTCGCGAGGACCTTCGACTTCTCCGGGCACTCTCCTGACCACGCCGGATGTCTTCCTCCGCAGGCCAGGCACCGTAGCGGAATTTCGTTTTTTGTGAGTAGGGCACTGGGCCTCGCCTTCCCTGCCGCCCTCTCCATGGGCTTTGGTCCCGCAACACCGGCACAATGGAGTCGCCTTGCAATAGTGCTGCGTGTGCCCCCACTTCCAGCACTTGTAGCACTGCGTTGGACTGAGGGCAGCCCAGTAAGGCTCGCAGTCCAGTAGTTGAGCCCTCCAGATCACTCCCTCGTCGCACGCCTTGCGTGCTTCCTCCTGGGAGGTTGAAGCGACCAGCATCGTTGCCGGGGTCGCCTCCCTGTGTCTCGGCACTCTAAACTTCACTTTATCGACTGTGTGGAGGCCAGTTTCCTTCCCGAACTCCTCCTCGGTGACCCCTTGGAGGTTCTTCTTCCACACGCCTTTCAGCAGCACTGCAAAGGTTCGCTTGCTCTCTTCGGCCTGCTCTCCAAAAGCCTCCCTAACTCAGTTGGTGTTCGTCGAGTGCCAGTCTCTTGCCCCTACGCTCTAGAATGTGACGATTGTGTCGCCGCTGGGGAGCCTTCGGGCTGCGACTGCTCCCTTCCTGACTGACACTTGGTTGACCGCCTGGATGGTTTCTTGCGGGGTGCGCTTCGCGAGATCGGCAGGCATTCCTCTGCCTCTGACTAGGATCTCCTTATTTATGCGGGTCGGCACTAATATCTTTGTCGGGGTGTTGGGTTGTGACTGAAGGGGGACAGCCCTGTGAGCGGCCACTGCGGCCCAGGTTCCTTTGTCCTGGGTCCCGGCCCCATTAACGGCTTCCTTCACTTCCTCGGCCACCACCTTGCAGAAGTTGGCCAGCGAGATGTTTCCAGTCTGTGACTGAGACGCGTCGTACATTTTCCGGACGGCTGCTAGCAGGTCCTGTCCCATACCTCTGGCTGTCCCTTTCTTCTCGGGGTCTGCTAGTCCCACCGGCTCGTCAACCATCTTCTTGATAGCCTCTATGTCGGAGGGCGGGGGTGAGAGGGGCGGGGTGGGGGGTAAGTGCCGGGACTGCTCTAGCACACTTCTTCCCCTTTGGGCTGGAGCAGTAGGGCCGGCCATCTTGCCTCCACTCAGGGGTTCAGGGGGGCGTGGTCGTCTGGGTAACTGTGTGTGGGTCGGGTAGCTCGTGGGTCCGTGCGTTGGCGATAGAGATTTCCAGGGCGACTGCGCGTCCCGGATCGCCCTTCTTTCCAAGCCCACTGCGGCCGCGCTGCGGATTGCGCGTCGGTGCACGTGGTGTGGCTAGATAGGGCTTTGCGAGAGCTTTCGATCAACGCTAGCTTTGAAACTTTTTAATCTCGGTATTTATGTAACTTCGACGTCAACCCAGCAAGGTACACCGTCTATAAATAAGATACCTTCATTATTCCTACTCCACATAGTTATGATATATCCTCTCTCTCCCTAAGATAGAATAATAAAACATTATACATCTATTGCAACTACTATGCAACTAGAACCTTACATCCCTAGCGATTAGAGCTCATTTCATTGTTTTACGAGACACCCTTCTTGGAATTCACTTTCTTGTTGGGTTTCCTAACAATATAACATACAATTGGTACATTGCAAGACGGTAAAGTCCTTCCACACCTCTAGCTTAATGAATCAATGTATAATATAAACTTTACCATTCATCTCAAGCAACTTCGTTGTCATATCTAGATATCTACCTGTTTGGACACTCACGACCTGCTATCCCGGATAATACAAAAAAAAAAAAACAGCATTGCGATGAGGTTGGTTCTCTGTACCAGAACAACTCTCACGCAAGAGGTTCAATCAATTGTCATAGAACACCAGAGTACGCACTTCGATGCTCTCACGCGGCTCCTTATCTTCCTCAGCGGAGTCAACGAATGCCGAGTGAGGGACACGTCGCGCCACTCCCGGTGCTGTGACAGAATCGTAACACTTGATGAGCGTAACCTCATCAGGGCGCTGCGCGTACTTGAAGTACCACCTGTGTGCCGGGTTTGGTTTGACCACATATGTCTCGCCCTTACGTTGTGGGTAAATGAGCGCCGCACCGACAAGATCTGACTCGGGGACAGAGTGCGCATCAGCAACCCCGAGGGGGTCTTTCAGTACCGTTTTGATAGGGCGCCAGACCTGCATTCTTCGTGAGCCAATGCTGAAGTAGAGAATGGGAGTTGGGATACCACGAACATTGATGATTTGGAACCGCTTCTGCAGCAGCTTCTCGGCCTCTTCAGGGAGATGATACCGCACTCTCTCTACCGACGCCGTGTACGACTGATCGATGTGCACACTTCGGACCGGGCCGCGGACGGGAGCATTTGGAACACCAAGCTGCTCGCGACGGATCGTGTGATCAAAGATGAAGACACGGCTAGCCCCCGTTCTGAATGTGAACCACGGGTGTCAATATTTCATCCTCAGAAAGTCACGGTGGCCAAGGGGGTCAAAGGCGGCACGGTTCCAACTATAGAGGAACTTACGCGTCTTTCAGCAGCTGCTCGATCTCTGAATAGTAGTTGCTCTTGATCTGATCCTCGTCTACAAATGCTTTCTCCTGGCTTTCATGATGAACCAGCTGGAACCCGTGACTGTCGAGGGTGTACTTATTCTCGCTCCCGCTGATGTCTGTGACTTCCACGGGAACTGATACACTTGGCCGGGAGGCGATTTGTGGGCCTGCAGGCCGGCTAATATGAGCAAAATAAATAGTCAGCAGAGACTCACAAATGCAAAGGCATTTGACTCGTAAGACGGGAAAGGTCCATACTCGATGTAAAAGGGGGCTGGCGGGGACCCGTCTTCGGGGTCCTTGTAATAATTCATAACGGTGCGGACATTGTGCTGGCCAGGCTTGCGGTCCAGAACAACCGATGGAGCAATAGCCGCATGCTGAGTGATATCAACTGGGCTAATGACGTCTGGGGTAGCCATGATTGAAGATGGTTGCAATATGAATGGCAGTTCTCGATTGATTCTGGTGTAAGGTGGGATGGGATGCTACGCAGGGACGTCTAGAGCAGGAACTTCCGTTGCTTTATACTTCAATCTCGGGCATTAGCCCGAGCGGATGTGTCATGGGGCATCCATCATCAGCATCGCCAGGTCGTTGGACAGTCGTGGTAGCACGTATGCAACTAAGCTGTCACGTCATCGCTTCCCGGTGCAACTTGCCCACCGAATGCCCCGAAAGGTCTCCGTCTGCTTAGAAATCGGTGTTTGGATCGGCGTTACATCCACTCAATGCAAACTTGACCTGGTGATTGATTAGAAATGTAATCTTGAGTGGGTTGTGAGTTGCCCATCGAGGGAAATTGTAGGAATTACCCCGGATAGGACACACTTCAACATAAATCAACGTATTACTCATGGGCCCGGCGACAATTACGCGGTACGTAAACTACCAGGTAGTTTCCATAGACGCTCAATCAACACTGGCCGGACCATCTCCAACTCCTTGCGAGATGAAGGCGACGACGATGAATATAACAAGGCACAAGAGAGACAAAGTTGTTAATTTTCATATTCGAGATTCAAGGGGCGGCAAATCGCTGCGGCTATGACCCATTTATAAGGTGGCAGGCATACAAAAACGGCCGAGGCCATACATCATTCACCCCGATTGCGCTTACGAGGCTAGCTGCGAAGACGCACGGAGTACGGGTCGCCAGAGCGAGGGAACTATACACGAAGGTCATCAGGAGTGTTCTCTCGTACGGGGCGACAGCCTGGCACACGCCAACCCAGGTCGGAGGGACCCCGCGAGGGGTCGTACGCGGCCTCCAAGCGACGCAGACGCGTTGCCTACGCGTGGTTGCAGGCGCCTACAAAGCGACACCGAACAGGAACGTGGAGAGCGAGACCTGGGTACCGCCCCTGGATCTGTACTTTGAACAGATGGGTCGCCCGCACGGAGCAACGACTCGAGGAAACAGGCATGGCGGGGCTAATAAGCAGCGCCTGCGCCGCGGTAGCAGCTAGAATCCGCAGACGGAGGAACTTCCGGGCCCGCCCCCCCCCCCCCCGGGAAATTCCGCCTGAGGAAAAAGGAGTGGGGGGGAGCCTGGGTGGTAAAAGGGCTAAAAAAGAGGATTCCGAGGACCAACCAACAAGGAGAAAGTGTTCAGGGGGCCCCGCAAGGGCTTCCTGCGGCCCCCAAATGGGTTCCCCCCCACCCGGACGAAGCTTCCATTCAGGAATGGATTTCGAGACCCGAGGGCCCGGAGGAAAGGGGGAAAGAACAGCGCCCACGCCGCCACCGCGACGCAACCCAACTGTACATGCTGGACCCGCCTGCGCACCCGCTGCACCTACACGAGGGATTGAACAAGGCCCGGAGCTCCCTGCTCACGCAAATACGCACCGGGGTGATAGGCCTCAGACAGTTCCGGTTCAGGAGAAGGGTCCCGGACGTGCCCTCGCCGCTTTGCAGCTGCGGGGAAGCACCGGAGACAGTCGTCCACCTAGCACTCAGCTGCGACGAGGTGCTCGCGGAAGGGAAGATGCTCGACGAGCTGCGGGACAGGCACGACCTGCTCGAACTGCTTAACAGCAGCTCGGGAGCGGCAAAGGCGGTACGATGGATGGCTAGCCTGGGGAAACTGGGGGAATACAGGCTGGAGTGGGAGATAGAGGGAAAGGTCGAGAGGGTCGACGAAGACGAGGCCAACGAGCCGGCTGGGTCCCAGGAGGGCTGCCAGGCGCCCAGGGAGAGGGCAAAGAAGAAGAAGCGGAGGAAGGTTGGCCTCTGAGCGAAGGCGCTGCGAACAAGCAGCGCGGTCCGCTCAACAACCTACTAATGTATCAAGTGGCACCTATAGCGCAGCCGCCACCGAACCGGGAAGATGAGTCTCGGACTGTTGGATAGGGGGAGGCAGGAGCGAAGACTGAGCCGCGTGGCCGTGGCTCAGGAGCAGCGAGTGAGCCGTTGTATGATACCAGACTAAGGTAGAGGGACCGCTTGCCCACTTGGGCGGGGACTAGCCCCTGCGGGGTAAGACCAATAATAATAATTCACCCCGATTCAGGAAAATCCAGATCAAAAAACAGGATAGGGGTATCCTAACTTGATGTCCTATCACACTGTTGCGTGCTGACCACCCATGCGGCTATTGTAGGCCGGTCAATCTACTGCATGAATAGTCGACACTGAGGGCGTCCCGGCAGGCGCTGCCATATCCAAACCGTTGAGTGTTCTATCACCACAATCCTCTTCGTTGTCGCTCTCGGCGCCACTCTGCTCGGCGCCACTTTCCCCGTTGGTGCTATATCCATCACTTTGACCGCGGCCTCTCGCCATTTGTCGAGAGTTGCAGGATTCTAGATCAGACTCCAATTCACTTGCGGAACTCGCTACCTCGGACGTCTCATCCTGGTAGCCACTCTCGGAATCCTCACCCACCAAAGCCAACTCGTCCGCAAGTGACATTCGACGCTTGAGGGATGGCCTTGTCTTCGGGGCCCGGGCATCTACAGCCTGCTTAGCATTCTACGACTTCCGATTTATGTCAGTGCCCTGCCGGGCATGTGGGCATGCTCACCTTCTTGCTTGATACCCTGTATCGTGTTCCTGCGCTCCAGTGACCGCGGTTGCACGTAGGTGGACTGAGGGGTCCCCGTTGCTCGCGGGGTGGCAACCGGAGATTGGGCAGATAGCGTGGGATGAAAAGAGACTGAGTGTTGCCGAGGGGTTGCTGGCATAAATCTATGACTGGCCGGATAGCTGGTGTGGCCTTCCTGTAGGCGTAGCTGAGACCGAGTTTCTTCGTCCTGGCGCCGGGGCCCTGCTCCTGCCTCTGTAACTCGAGCGCCCGGAGTAACAAGCGGGTTGTAGCCTTCATAAAAGTGGGTTTTGGAGCTGGTCAATATCTGCATTAAGGTTAGCAAAGGATTCGAGGCCTACACCCGAGGCTTGGCCGTAGAGCCCCGCCCAGCGGCGAGTGCAAGCTGTGCGAGGTGATCTGAGTTTTAACTTACTCCCTCCGTGCAACTGGTTGACCTGTTTGACAACTTTCAGCTGGCCTTCGGCAAACTCGAGAGACTCGACGGCGACATGGATAGCAGCTTGGACGCGGATCTCTGCCTGCAGAGCCCTTGCTAGATGTGTCGCCAACCCAGGGTGAACGATGGGTACAGAGGATGATGAATGTCGCGATGGAGGACTAGCTTCTAATGGCGGAAAGCTTTCGGTTTTGGTCCGAGCGTCGTGTGGCTGCTTTAGACTAGCCGAGGAACTGGGGGGTCGTGGGGAATAGCTGGTGGGTGGTGTTGCGGACATGGACTGTCCATATCTCGCTGCCACTGACCGGCTTAGCTTCGATGATGCATGTTGATTACTGTGACTAAAAACCCGGGGGTTGACCGGCTTATAGGGTTCAGCCATGGGTGTTGCCTCTTCTTCGGTTGCCTGCCGTTCGCTACTGCTCCGCTCAAAAGAGCATACGGTACCCTGTAGCGCGGACAGGAGTTGACCAAGCGTCGGGCATAGCACTTCACCAAGCCGTTCCTGCGACTTCTCCCGAGGCAAAATCTCTTGGAGGATACCAAGGGCGAGGTGAAGGCTGGAGCTCATGGTGAGCACGGCACCGACTAGGACCTCCTTATCTGCATCTTGGAGGGGCCTGGGCGAGGAAAGGAGCCTCTCAACGGCCTGGATGGGGCTGTCGGTAAAGCTTTCGCGAGGTAATACCGAACGCAGCAGCCAGCCCGGAAACAGAGCCATGACTTGCTGTGGGAGCTTGATCTTGTCTGATGTCCGGAGCGGCCAATCACCTGGCGTAATCTCAGGGTGCCTTGGTCGCTGTGGGTGGTTTGATAACACCGAAAGCCATGCTCGGGAGGTTGTGTGACATAATTAGGGGCGCCTCTGTTGAGTGGCTGGTGAATGCCATTGGGTTCAAAGTCCTGGTGGGAACTGGCGGTGTGCGCTGGCCCACACCGCCAAATTCCACCTGCAGAATAACTCTTAGTCGCCATGTTGTGTGGATTGGTTGGCGGCGCTAACCATAAACGTTGCATCAAGAGCTTGCTCTGTATTGGTACGAGGTACGTTGAACGCACATGAGGCTCGCCTCATTTTCCTGTGGCAAACATGGAAGCCACGGTCACCCGCGCCGCCTGTAGACCGTCTGAGGCCGTTTGCCGTGACATGTGGAGGGGAACCAACCCCACCAGGCGGTAGCCACCCGGAGAAGAGGAAAATACTCTGGTGAACCAAACACCAAACTGCTTCTCTTTGATATTCAATTCTTGATATTCAATCAACACAGCCATGCATTCCGGGCCCAGACTGCAGCAGGATGGCCGGGGACAAGGATGTCAGAACGTGCGATGTGCAGACATGTAGGCACGTTTAAATTTTCAAAGTGGCGCCCAAATCATCAAGTCATTTACCAGCAATATCGAACCACGAAGCCAGGCTGGAGGCGGTGGTTGTTAACAAGATTATCGTTTGAAAATTCAACTTTGATTGAATTTGCGGACAGCGTTCAGCTAACCAGTGGGACGGATACCTATGCGACTTGCCCTAGCTGGACTCCGCAATCGGCGGTTTCCGGGTTGCGCTAATATGCCAAGCTCGGATGCCTAGTTGTTGCTGTGGCTTGGCTAAAATCGCGGGACTACATGTAGGTCTAGGAAACAATACGGCGCAGGCTTAGAGACACCAGGAGGAAGATCCCTGTGTCTCGAAAGCTCAAAATGGTCCGCGGTAGTGGCACAGGTGTCAGCACAAACCCCGGGCTTGAGGCGGGACTTTTAAGATAGTTCCAACGAACGAACCATCGCCTCAATTGCCTACTTTCTTTATCCTTTTTTCATGCTCACCATGGCATCTCAAACACGTATATAATATCATTTTTGAACTACCAATCGTGTCGGGTTCATGTTTGAAAATGACCGTTTTTCCCGCTCGCCAACTTGGGCCACCATGCGCGACATGGACAAGATTGGCTCGCGTTCTGTTGGCAGGGGCATTGATGGCCGCGATGGTTGTCGGCCAAGATGACGACCCTAACCACGGAGTGGTGTTCATTTATCCTATAGATGGCCAAGTGTACCACAAGATGGACACAATCGATGTGACCTATACCTCACCGTTCCCAACACCGAACCTCTATCTCTGGTGTGACGGAGGCCAAGCGGAATGGTATGAAGCTCATCGCAAGCATCGAGATTCCCCGCCTGTTAATGACTGACAACATTACCTAGTTTTCACACAAGCCGCCCCGGGATACAACGCCACAGTTCCCGTCATACTGGATTTTACCTCCGCTACCCGCTGTTGGTTCAACCTGCGGCCAAGCACCGTGTCTGGCTTTGGGGCGAATAGCCCGGATTTTGATCTCATCGGCGAGGAACGAGAGTCTGGGAGCAGGGTATTTGGCCCGACGACTTCGACAGATTCCACACCGACACCCACCCACCTGTCGACCACGACGTCCGCAGACGCGAGTGCCACACCCCCCGCTGCGAGTTCAGCACCACCCAACTCCACACCCGGTCGGAGCGGGTTGGGTGTAGAAGCCGCGGCGGGAATAGGGACAGGAGTTGCGGTCGGAATGATGGTTATCTGCGGAGTCCTCGCATGGAGTTGGAGACGGAGGAGACGGGGTATTAGGGAGGGTGACCAGGAAGGGGGCGATCAGGAGCATTACCAGGCGAGCCGCACGTCGAGCAACGAGGAACTGCTAGAGAAACAAAAGCCTAGCGCCCCAGCGCAGCTCGTCGACCCCCGTCGAGACGGGTATCGGTATGGGCACTATGGGGCCAAGGCGAAGTTCATTGCCGAGTTGAGCTCAGCTCACCACACCCCGCCCGAGATTGGATCATCTCAGATTCTAGACCCAAGGCACCCGTTGGCAGCACCTGGCAGAGGACCTTTTCTGTAAGCGCAGGCCGCAGATACATGTTAACACACGGAAGGATAAGTGTAACCCACCAGGACCCAGCATTCAGACATCGGGCCGGTGACAACTAATTCAAAGCCCGAGCACCCCCGAACTCCGTTAGACATCGCGGTCAAAGTTCGGCGTTGATGTTTCCTAACTGCCCCTTGATCCCCGTGCGGCCATTGAGGGCGTGGGATCTGCAGGATGTTACCAGTATCCTACATCCCTTCACCCCTATTTGTGCACAGAGGTGCCCGTTCAGGCTCGCCGGGAATAGGGTGGAAGCCACAAACGCCGATAAGGCAATCCCCGACCTCCCAATCACAACCTATCGCAGTATTCTCGGTGAAGAGCAGCATGTAAGCCTGTTCTGCGTGACTGCGTATACGTCGTACTCGATGGTACCCACCATAAATTCTGGGTGAGCGGACGGCTACTCCCTAGTATAACCGGCTTTCGCTAATATGGGAGGAGGAACGGGGGACCTTGCGTCAGCGTGGTGCAGCTAGGCCCACCACCAATGCCCCCCGTCAGAACTGGGTCCTTACTTAGTAAGAGAGGCACGCCCCATTGAGGCCTTTTTTGCGAGTCTTCCACCAACTTTTTCGAGTGACGAGGTATGCCGGATTCGACTCCATCCATGCAATGCCACTTTCTTTCCAAGTTCCATCAGCAGCGGCAAGCGCGCCTGTCGAGTTGCCAGGTGGTGGCGCGTGGGGGCGGGATGCTTGGTCACAATCAGGATACGACTGAGACCTACAGACACCAATGAAGGGTTCCATTAGGAGTAATCATTATTCAAGTATACATGGGAGTGCCTCGGCCTAAAGATCTTATATCCATGCGCTTGTCCCCCCGTGTCATCGCCCTGCCCACCTACTACATCCTGCCCTTGATCTATCGACTATTAGTTAGGTACGGTGGCCTTCTTTCTCGACACACATCTCGTCCACGTTTGGTACCCAACGAATATTTCTCCACCCTGGTTGTTCCCTCGGCAATGGAAACACTCGCTAAGGCCAAACATGCTCTTGCAACAGACTTCACATGGAGTCGAGGAAAACGCCTTGCTGTGACTGGATCCCGCGCTCTCCCAGGCGCTGCCGGTGAATATGTGGCCAGCAAATTTCCCATCATTGGCTGGCTGCCACGATATCGGCCCCGTTGGTTGATCAATGACGTTGTTGCGGGCTTGACCGTCGGCCTTATGCTCATTCCACAGGGACTATCGTATGCCCGGATTGCTACGGTTCCGGCCCAATACGGGCTTTTGTCCAGTTGGTTGCCATCCGTTATCTACGCCCTGATGGGGACGACAAAAGGTGGGTTTCGAGCGGGCAGGACGGGGCATGGGCTAGGACTCATTCTGACATGGTTGCTGAATGGTAGACTTATCTACTGGCCCGACGAGTTTAATCAGCCTCTTGACGGCCGAAATCATTGCATCTCTCCGAGAGGAGCGGGAGTGGACCGCGCCGCAGATCGCCAGCGCAGTCGCAACCATGATGGGAATATACGGGTTGGTGATCGGACTCCTGAAGCTCGGGTTCCTGCTCGAGTTTATCTCCCTCCCAGTCCTTAGCGGTTTCATCTCCGCCGTCGCTATTACTATCATCCTCAATCAAATGGATGCGCTTCTTGGAGAGCCCAACGTGGGCGACGGCACGGCAACCCAGATCCACGACATTTTTCAACAACTGCCACAAGCCAACGGGTATGCATGCGCAGTCGGCTTCACGGGTATCTTCCTTTTGGCGGCTCTTGACCAAGCTGGGAAGCGGTGGGGGGGGGGGAACAAGGTCGTCTGGTTCCTCTCCATGACGAGGGCGTTCATCGCCCTCGTTATTTTCACCGGGGTTGGATACGCCGTCAACAAGCCGCGCGGTAGCCCAGACGACTTCCTTTTTGAGATTACCAAAGTCGAATTCAACTACCAGGACATGAAATCTCCACGTGTCCCGAGCGCTCGGCTACTATCACGCGTTGCTAGCCAAAGCGTAGCTGTCTTCATCGGCTCCGCGGTCGAGCACACGGCCATTGCTCGTAGTTTCGGGGTTCGAAACAATTACATGTCGGACCAGAGCCAAGAACTCACCTATTACGGCGTGACCAACATTGTCAACAGTTTTTTCCACGCCGTGGGAGTAGGCGGTGCCATGTCAAGAACGGCAGTCAACTCTGCCTGCAACGTCAAGTCGCCTCTTTCTGGAGTTGTTACGACTGCGGTAGTGCTGGTCTGCATTTTCGAGTTGACCGGAGCACTTTACTGGGTTCCTAAGGCCACTCTGGCCGCAATCATTATTACGGCGTGTTGGCCGCTGATTTCCCCGCCGTCGGTGTTCTACCGCTACTGGAAGACTTCGCTCGCGGACTTCGTCTCCTCGATGATTGCTTTTTGGGTCTCGTTGTTTGTATCGACGGAAATCGGCATCGCCAGTTCGGTCGGATTCAATATCGTATACGTCTTGCTCCGCCAAGTATTTGCGCGCGTGTCAACGATTCCAGACCCTAGGTCAGAGCTCGCTATAGCCATTGATGGCGCTGGCAATACCCCACCGTCGGTTTCAGCGGACACGTGCGTGTTTCAGTTCAATGACTCCGTATTCTTCCCAAACGCATATCGGGCGAAGACTTCCATCATCGAGACATTGAAAACACATCACGCACCCGCGGTCAACAGCGCCGAAAGCCCCGAGGCGGAAAGGGGCTGGTCTGTTACCCGAGAAAACCGTCTTGCAAAGCTTCGCCGACGTGAGGGTATCACCCCAAACCTCTGCCCTGCCGCCGATTGGCCCTTGTCGTCATCGACTTCCATAGGGTCAATCATTTGGACGCGACAGCTTGTACCCACCTTGAGACGCTTATCGCGGAGATTAGAGCGTATGGAGGTCCAGGGGTGCTGGTCCGTTTTTCGGGCATGTCAGAATACGTTCAGCAACGGTTTGAGCGTGCGGGATGGGACATCATTAGTGGCAACGATACACCGGAAGGTCTGGAAGAAAACCAGGTCGTCAGGTCGTACCGCAACGTGGTGTGCGCGGCGAATGCTCCTAGGAATAACGAGAGTACAACACGGGTTGAGAGTGAAGAGGAAGAAAAAGGGCAGGAAATGATCGTGGCGAGCCACATCGAGTAACAAATGGGCCGTTACCTGCGGTTGCCAAGCGGTAATGGCACCGACTAACCTGCTATTCATTCATTGATTGACGAGAACTGGGGGGCAAGTAGTTTTGTTTCCTTTTGTAGAAGTGATGGAACAGCTGAATGCGCCGTGGAGAGAGCAAGAAGCTTTTCTTTATTCTGTTGATTACCGGAGGCATGGGGGTTCGGAAGAAGAGTCGGGAATTAAGGTACTTCCTTTCTGCCCGTAAGTTCCCACCAGTTATACGTGACGTAATCCACTTCCATCATCCCCTCCCCCCTCCACGTCCCGAACACCGCAGCGAACCCCGCTTCATCTTGTTTGCCTTTCATTCCCCATCCAAAAGTCTCCAACCATGGAATCCGAAACACCAGCGAAGCGGCAGAGGTCGGCCAAGGATGTGCCGTATAAGCTCGTGTATTGGCCGGGCATTCCCGGCCGGGGCGAGCACATTCGGCTTGCTCTCGAGGAGGCCGGTGCCGACTATAGCGACACGGAAGGCGGCGTCGATGAGGTCCTCGCCTCGATTCAGGATTCGGGCGACGAGTTCAACCCCCCTGTTCTCGCGCCGCCCGTCCTGAAGCACGGCGAGCTCACAATCAGCCAAACACCCAACATCCTCTTGTACTTGGGCCCGCGCCTCGGACTCGTGCCAGACGCCAACCAGAACCCCGATGGTATTTATCGGGTCAACTCGCTCGCGCTGACAGCGCTGGACGGGTTGAGCAATGAACCTCACGATTGCCACCACCCCATCGCAACTGGTCTTTACTACGAGGACCAGAAAGTGGAGAGCAAGAGAAAGTCCGAAGATTATGTCAAGAATAGGCTACCAAAGTTCTTGTCGTATTTCGAACGAGTTCTCGGATCCAAATCGAGCGGTGATGGGCCCTGGCTCTACGGTGGAAGCCTGACATATGCCGACTTGGTTCTTTTTCATGTACGTTCGATCCTTTCCTCAGTATCTTGTCGAGAGTGTAGATATGTCCTGACAAGGTCACCGTAGTGTGTGGATGGCGTCAAATTCATGTTTCCCAAGGCCATGGCAAAGTTGGAACAGGGGGGGAAGCATACCAAGGTCTTTGCCCTCCACCAAGCTGTCGGAGAAAGGCCGAGAATCGCGGCATATCTAAAAAGCTCTCGAAGACAGAAGTACTCTGATGGCATTTATAGATATTATGAGGCGCTCGATATTGAGCCCTGATTGCAAAGCATATCTGGTCCTCGGGAAGCAACTCGCGGCGGTTGCTTGGTTGGACAAAGGGAGGCAGGCAGTGTGTGGTGCAAGGCGGCGGCAGGATGGGCTCAGAGAGAGATTATATGGCTCATCAAGTCTGTGCATGTGTTTACTCCCAAAAGAACCTGGCAGAGCGAAAGTCTACAACCTTTTGTTATACACAAAGACATATGAAGAGTTGATAGTCAACAACTGCAATCGATTGACAAGAAGAAACCCCAATAAGGGATAAATTCTATCCACCTCTTGGCACAAGACCTCGAAGGGGGATAGAATAAGTAGTGGTAGCGACGAGAAACTAAGAATAAATACAAAATGGCCCACCCACCACCTCCGCGAGCGCGCAACCCTCGGGTAACTAAAAGTACAAAAAAAAAAAAAGGAAAATAACAATATAAAGACCGATAAACCAACACCAAACAAGCCAACCACATCCCTCTAACCACCCTACCTAGCAGAAATCGCCTCGCCTGCAATCCCACCAGTTTTCCTCAAGACGGAACACGAGCCGCCCACCACCCATCGCCATCAAACCTCCACCTGACCCAGGTCCATGCCTTCCTTTGCCGCGATTTCCTTCAAATGCCTCAAGACAGCATTCTCGCCAGCCTTGACGGGACCGCCCATCCTTCGGAGGAGATTGAAGTGGAAGAAACGCCCCACAAGGGAGGTGGCACCGTCCTGGTCAATCTCCGCCTCGTCGACGTCTTCCGGCAACTCCTGGCCGAGGTTGATCAAGGTGCTTTGCTTCCATGTACGGATCCACTGGGGCGAAAGATTCGCACACAGGTCGGAAATATCCATGAAAGCCGCGCAGGCCTCGATCCAGTCCTCGCAGTGACTGCGGACAATCTCGCCAGGTATCATAGCATCGTCGAGCTCCTTGGTAGGCTCGGCCTCGGGGGAATTCGTGGAGGCGTTGCCATCCCCTTCGTCGCGCGCCAAAGACGAGGACTGGGGAGCGGTTGCCGGAGCTGGGAGGGCCGGGAGCTGTGGTACCTGGGGCGGATCAGGGGCCGGAGCATTAGACGGAGCCGCGGCTGGTGCTTGAGCCTGAATCCGCCTGGGTCTGGTCCTAGGCTTTGCAGATCGACGACTCTTGCGGGGTCCGGGAGCCTGGGGGGCGAAGTTGATGGCCGCCGTTGCCGTGGCCGGTGCAAACGAGTGTGAAGGTGCTGGGGCTGGGAGGCTGACGGTGACCGGAGTCGGAGCCGAGGTCTCGGTTGGAGTGCAGACCGGAAAATCGACCTGCTGCTGCTGCGGCTGCGAAGGGGCTAGCGTGGCTTCGGGTTCCGGTGTAGGTACGGCCTGTTCCACCATGGCGTCAAACAGACGAGGGTTGGTCGGTGGAAGAGACGAGTCGGACGAGCGCGAACCGGAGCCTGCGGGCTGAACTTGGGCGTTGACCTCCGCGGGTGCGGTAATAGCAGCAGGTGGAATCGACGGGAGGGGACTCGCAGGACGATGGATGTGGATGAACGGCGGCTGAGGCAAAGGAAGAACGTCAACATTCCAATCACATGTGACGCCGGCGGCATGCTGCCATCTACTCACCTGAGGGACGGTGACAGGCATAGTCATCCCAAAATCTTCGCCCTGCTCAACCTCCATGGCTGTGTCTTCAAAAGCGGCCGACACAGGGTTGAATAAAAGAGGCGGGGCAGGGTGAGTGGGCGAGCCCTGACAAAGGAGCGGCTCACAAGGCTGCTATGTCGGGTGCCAACCGTGTCAGCGACAGTGACGGAAAGGAGAAAGAGAACTTACAACATCAGCCATGTCAACGTCCATGTCCGAGTTATCCATCTCAGCTGCCACCATCTCAACCTCCACCATCGAGGCATCCTCTGTTTTCTGAGTCATGTCGGGCGCATCTAGCATGACAGCATCGTCATCGACCATATCCTACCTGGCCGAGGGGGCAACTGTCTGCTGGAAACTGACTGTCTCAGGAGCGGGCGCGGAAACTGGGACCAAGGCCTCCTGAGGACGCCCGAACAAAACTTCGAAACCGGTGCCTGAAGCGGGAAGCAGAATCGTCACCGGACAGTAGGCGTGCAGGGTGTTCTCGACTTCAAAAGCCTGGCGAGCGGGGGCCTGTGGCAGAAGTTGGAACACCGGTTGGCGGACTGCTGGGCGAGCAAAGTCGGGAGGCGTAAGGTTGTCGCGCCACTGGTTCCTGACACGCTCCTCAATCCAGCTGGGCCTCAAATTGGCGTAGTCTGTACGGGTGGGCATTAGTCAGGAGAGGACAAAGAACCGGAGGCGCGAGCCACGGCGAAGTGAACTTACCACGACGGCGAGCTTCCTGCCTCATCATCTTCTGAAACTGCCGAATTGACTCCACCTGTTCGCGGCACAGCTTGACCCTATGCTCGTTGATCCGCTTGACAATGCCGAGAGCCGCTTGCTGTACTTCCTCCAACACCGCCGACTGTTGTCGACTGCGGCCATAGTTGGCGAGAACAGCGGAGTGGAGCTGCTCAACCTTGCCCGACAGAAAAACGGCGTTCATATCCTGCCATGTTCCCCAGCCCAGGTAGGTACCTAACATTTCCTTGATTGCAACCCCCCAAGGCTCTCCAACTATCAAAAGTAAACTCATGAAGTAGGTTTGCCTCTGTTTCCATAACAACCACGGGACTGCCTCTGAGTGGTGCCACCGGGTGGTGCCATCGGGTGGTGAGCAAGATGGAAGGCACTTCAGTCGCGAGCCCCGGGAAGGAGCAGCAGGAAGTAAACATCAACCATGAGACGGAACGCCCAAAGTAAACATGACTCCTCCATCGCCCCCCTTGCTGGTCAATGCACACCAGCAATTTCAGGTGTGCATTGACGGTTTTTGTTGCCAGGTCGACCCCCCTATAAATACTTCCCTTCCCATCCACGCCTTCTCCTCTTCTTCTCTTCTCCATCGGACTCGACCTCGCGTTTACATTGATCACACATTGCACCAGCAATTCGATTAAATACTGCACTCGCACAAGCTTATTCATTCGCATTCAGACAGACAACAAGACTTGGTCTCGGCCTCGCTCGCGTTCGCCTCTCTGCGTCGACTGCTCCAGCTCATCTCGACCCAATTTTCGACATCGCTCCGACACGACATCGCGAAGGCCCAGCCCCAACAATGCCGCCGACGAGGTGTCTACACCTCTTCGCCCTCGTGGCTCTAGTCGCCGTCGCCACCCAGCTCCCCACGCGCCTTATTGAGCTGGTGGCGGCGGCCGGTGACGTTCTCTTCTCCCTCTCCATGGGCGTCGTGCTCTGCATGGCATCCATTCATTTACTTGCTTTTCTTTGGAGCCCCGTGGCTCCCCTGCTAACGGTCGCAGGTTACTGCATGTTTTTCGCGGCGAGTGGCCTGATTGCTGTTACTGACTCCAGGTTTCGCAACGTAGGGTATCTCCCCAGCCTTGTCGACGAGCTCCTCAGAGATGAGGAGCTTCGGTCAAGTCTGCAGGAGGTGTATATCAAGCTGCGAGACGAGTACAGGAAGCAGCGATCGGTTCTTGCCTCCCTCAACCACGGCATCACCAAGGTCTGCAAGGAGCACAACAACCACTGTCGCGAATTTCCGACAGTGTTTTCGAGAATCTTTCGACCCGATGTGCCGGCGGCACCTTTCCAGGACGCAGAGTGGACCGAACCACACGCCCTTGTCAAGATTGGTAAGTACCACCGTTTTTCTTGTCCTAGCCCTTAGCATAAACTATCCCACCCCAGTTGCTTGCGTGTCGAATTTATTTTATTATTATTATTATTCATACTCCGCTATGCCCTAGGGCGTGCCGGACCCTCTGCTATTTAGTGTACAGGAAAACCGTGCGCTCCCAGGCCGGGTGAAAAACCCGTACCAACAATCAAGGAGCGATGCGTTTTAGTGAGCCTACATATACAAAGAGAGGAGGCCTCCTGGCCTCCGAACGGGGGCGCTTCAGGCCGCCGTTTCCAGCTCGAGCCTCCTGGCTAAGCTATACATCGGCAGCTTCCCCGTGTCCATCAGCCAGTCGAGGATCCTCCTCGCAAGCCGTGCAGTCGTGGGATTTATACCGTGTAGAACAGAGGAAAAGTCCCGTCGTGTCCGAATTCCAGTCCTCTCCCATCTTCGAGCCAACGGTGGGGCCAAACACCACACTACTAGGTGTTCGGCAGTCTCTCGTCCCTCGCCACACTCGCAGGCAGGCGTCAGAACCTCCGGGACTCCCCGTGTGAACAAGAAGTCCCGTAGGCCTATTGCTCCCGTCCGGATTTGAATCAGCAGTGAGCTCTTCGCCTTGTTGAGACCGTCATGCCTCCTTAGGGTTCCGTTCCGAAATAGCGTCTCCCGCTGATGGTCAAAGTCGTCCGCCGGCCTGGTAATTGCTCTGCCGTCCCGTTCCTTTAACCACCTCGCTCTCCAGGCCTCTTCTACTACCTTGTCCGTATCAACGATTCCCCCCGTCCAGCGCATGACCGTGCCCGCGGCTCTCTCCACCGCCGTAGGCCCTTGGGGTCCCAAGGTTCGCGGTCGGCCCCTGTTGCCCCTCCTTGAGCTAAGTCTCTGCTGTATCTTGCGGCAGGCGGTGAGGACAACGCTCGCCGCCGTCGTCTTGCCGCCTTGACCGTCGTCCAGATCGGGTCGTTGGAGTCGGTCTTTTCCGCGGCGAACTTCATCCCCCGACTTTCCGCCCATCGTAGACACGTTTCCCATGCCCCTTCCAGCTGCCGGATGTTAACCTCGGGGTTTCGGCCGAAAGCCAGGAGGTTGGTGTCATCCGCAAACCCCACAATAGCCAATTGGGGATGTTCGTCCTTCAGCTGCTTGTATGGAGAGGCAATGTAGAGAATGAAAAGGACCGGTGAAAGGGGGGAGCGTGTCGAATTTATCGACAGTAGACCCATCCTTCAATATCACATTCCATTTCGTCCTTGTCCTTCCCTGTCCAACATGCTCTCTTCTCGCTATCTCAATGTCCCTGATGCTGACTCGTTCCTTAATTATAGACCATCTCACAGGCTTGTTTCTCGTGGCCAAGTCACCAAACACTCCAGGCTGCGATTAACCACTCGTGATACTGGATGGCAAAGAGTAAGTTCCTACCTACCTAGGCATCCTATTTCGATTATTGCGTTTGTAGAAATAGAAGAGCCCCTGGCGGTGGGATGCCCCGGTCGACTCCCGAGTCCCAGACCTTGCCCAGTAAGGCACGCACCGCCCCAGTACGCTTGAAGCACCTCCCTTCTTTCGTCACAGTGGCATTAAATCTCGCAGGTAAGGTATTATTCTTTTCAAATTAGCCTGTCAGAGTGTTTGCCCGTTTGGACTTCGGTTTGCTAGAAGAGTAACCTTCAACACGCTTTACCATTGGTAGTAGGGATTAGAACAGACAAGTTCCACGGATGAGGTTGACATGGCTTGAGCATATGTCTCTATATGAACTAAGGGGCAGCTGGCTCTATGTTATTAGCTTGGACGTCCTATTGCCTCTTGCCGCTGGTGAACCAGAAGGTCGCTGAGATGGCAGGCAGCCAAAGACAGGCTCAGTTTGCCCTAGAAGCCGCAGTCCCCACATCATCCTCACTACCTTTTCCACGGGGTTCTTGGGAAATAGGATCAAAAGTTGAAACCTCAAGGGCCACGGTTAGTTTAATTAATGTTGTTGAGCGACTTTTGGAACAACGCCATGTGAGAGAAGACTGGGTACTCTGCCCTTGGTGTCCCCCTGAACGGCCAAGCAATTTGACAGACTTGAATAACCATTGGGATGTGTGCTCTTTCACAGCCGAAATGACTAGTATTTAGGTGAGCTGGCTGTTCGGTTTTACGTGGGATGTATCCAGTGCTGTTATAAAACGCCACCTCGCAGAGTCTGTTTCACGATTTGGATGGGTTGCCACGATGCGACAGCCAACAATGACCGGGCGACACAAATACTCGTGTAAAGGCATCGGAAACCCTGGTTTCGGCGTTGGTTCACAGTTCGGTGCCTGGTCTTCGCATGACATATGAGCAGCTTGCGGTTCATGGATTCATGTCCTTTACCGCAGAGTTAGAGAAAAACATAAAACGGTGAGACGGTAATAGGGCACCTTCAATGTTGCATATATTTGTTGCATTGAATCGTACATATACGCTATATGAACAGCCTGAGCCGTTACTACCACGTAACATGCCACTGATTGATCACGGCAATCCGGCCCCAGTCCTAGACTCCAGTTTTCCCAACCACGTCGTAACCCATGTCATGATGCCTATTCTAGAAAAGATGGCTGGCCACCGGACTAGCCTCGTTGAGTCGCTCTCCCCCTCCTTCCCTCGTTTTAGTCGACATCCATCCTGTTCGTAATCGACCCTGGTATTGCAACCGTGATGGATGGGTTGTCGTCCTCGTCTGTTTTCCCGACACCATCCAGAGTAATTTTGCCGTTATTGTTCAGGTGATTCTCACCCACACCCGACCCGTTCCCACCGCAGAGCCTGTACTCACCATCTCCGTGGTTCTCGATTATGCATTCATCCAGCGCCCACTGCGCCAGCAACTGATCGACCCCCATACGGTGAGCTTCCCCTTTCTCCATATGTCGTCCGACATGCTCAGTCCACTCGTCCCAGGACCCGGGTCCTTCGAATACGCTTTGGCAGTCAGGCTTGGGACAGGCTGACCGTTGAGGCGGCTGTCTCCGAGTAACGAGGCATGTTGTTTGCATTTCCTTGACGTGGGTATCCCATTCCGCCTGCAGCTTGTTGTCCCCTTTGGATAAAGCCTTCTTGATCGCAAATGGCGCATGCATGCGGCGAAGGTGCTGCGTGAACAGGTCCTTGCGGTTGAACTCGTTTCCCTTGCCGTCGGCGCTACCTTGCGGACACGATGAGCATCGATAATATTGTAAACATAGGTGTTGTGAGGAAATGTGTCGCTTCCACTCGTTCTTAGACCCAAAGGTGCTCGTGCAACCCGCAAACGAAAAGGCGCACGGAAAGGGCCTGGTATGGGCGGCAGCGACATGCTTACGGAGGGACGAGGAGTCCTTAAAGGGCGCATGGCTGCAGTAGTCGCACCGAACTTCTTGTTTTGGGGCCTGCTTCTGGAGAGGTTTCCTAACTTTTGGTTTTGCGGTCGGAGTGCTGTACTGGGCGTCGAACGGGGCCCTCTCAGCCCCTGGCGCGACGCCGTTGGCCGGGGAACCGGGATCGCCAACGTGTCGGACAGCGATGCTATCTCCCACCCGCGTGGCCTGGCGATCGAGCGTTGATGGAGTGTCATCGCCCATGTGTCGGACATGGCTTAGGGCCTTCAGTTGTTCTGCCGCCTCTTGCATCTCTGCCGAATCTTCCACTTCATCCTTAGGAACGATAGGGGGCGTCTGCCCGGGACTGGTCTGAGGAGGTATTGCAGTCATCGATGCCACCACCGCCTGTGCGAGGTTGCTACCCTGACGCCGGGGTGCCTCCTTCTGAAGAGCGGGATAATGGCCTAGGATCTCGCTCCGATGTACAGACGGACTGCGTTGGAGCGCACAGCCGTCTTCATCGTCTTTGAGACTTGGTAAGCCACTCGGATGTGCGTTGACAAGCCGCTGGTAGAGGTGTATCATGTTGTGGGAGTTGATATAGCCAAGGAAACAGCAGACTTTGTCGTGCTGAACAATGTTCCAGACATTGAGGGGCATGGATATGAGCAACATGGTAGGAGGACCAAGGAACATACCCTCTACGGTGAACTTTGACGCGGCGCCCGGGATGTTATGTAACCATTGGTTGAAGAAAGCCATGTCAGGGCTAGCGTCACCGACAAACGTCGTGCATACCAACACCCTCCGTTCATCTAACGTCAGGTCGAGAACCTCCTCTGGGGTGACAGGGCGATCCTCGGGCTTAGATGTCCAGGTACTTTGAACATCGGCGTCTGCAGAGTGGGGCGGTGATTGAAGCTGGGCCGCTTTTGGGTCTAGGGGGACCAAGATTATCCCCTGGCCCTTTGCAGGAGTCAGAGTAAAGAAAGCTGGTAGTTTCTCGGGTGCGGCGCCCGGCTTGGAAGGTCCATTGGGTTGCCTGGCGAGTGCCTGTGTGCTCTCCTGTTGCCCCTGTTGCCGTAAATCGTCGTAGAGTTTCTGCGCACTGAAGGGCCGACCTGAGGTGCTGAGTTTTGAGAGCGTCTCGGATAACGTGGCCGTGAAGGAGTTGGGTCCAGATTCTAGCGAGCTCTGATCGGGGGTATAAGCAGCAATTGCCTGCTTCGCGCCGTGACTGCCGGCCACGGGCGTGTCGCGAACGGCGCAAGAGTCGATTAAGAGCAATATCTCAGACTGGGCATCTTCAAACAGGCAACGTACACCATCCCACTTCAACTTGGCGGCGTCATCGCGCGAGTTGCTGGCCGCGAATTAGCACAGAGAGCAGGAAGCGCTGACGGCATCGCACCTACCAGGCCCAATACAGCTGGTTGTCAGGACCGACATAACCGTGGCCGGCATAGTATATAATAAGGAGGTGGTCTGGCCGGGCGTTGTCGAGGAATGAAGCCATCCGAACACCGAGCTTAACGCTTGGGTTCGGAACGGTAGGGATGGTCCATTTGTCGATGTGGTAATGGTATCGCTCATGAAACACCTGCTCCAGGGCGAGCAAGTCCGGCTCAACTGACGTGTCCTCCTCCCAGCGCAACATCAAAACCGATACGCTTGTATGCTTGGGTCGAAGCGTCTGCTGTTGGATGTGTATCGCGGCATCCTGAAGGTGGCGGGCGAACGCTTCGAACTCGTCGCATTCCGGCAGCCGTGACACAGGTTCAGCGTGTGGGTAGTGCTGTGGCGGTACCTAGGAGTAAAGGTCAGTATCATGGATAAGGTAGCGAGGGGAGAATTATAGCACAAGATACTCACCTGGTCTTGGGGGAAAGCATGCGGAGGAGGCTGTGGCTGGATCTGTGGTGTTGGGGGAAGCGCAGGCACGGCCGGAGGTTCGGGAACCTTAGGGGCCAGCCTCCGCCGTTTTGAAGAGGGCTCCATAGTCCAAAGATATGGCTGGGGAAACCGGCCTCAAATTCTCCGACCGGGACACCAACGGGGGAGGGAGCAGATGTTGGCCAAGAGACCCGGAAAGGGGGGAGGGGGTTCGCTAGGCTGCAGATGCCGCAGATTTGCCGCTCACAAGTACGGAAAAAACAACAGAAAAATCGTAACGAAACAAACAATGGTCGAATTGGCGGAAGAAAGTGAGGAGAAACAGCAACAAGCGAGGCGAGACTGTGAGGCCGCACAGGGGGGCGGGATGGTGGGCAAGACACTTGCAGAAGGTAAGGCTGTGTTGAACCACTCGGCTCTGAGTTAGCCTTGTGGCATTTGATAGCGCGACCTGATTGGCGGCCTGCGCAACTCGGCTTTCCTTCGCCCTGCACGAGGGGACAGAGCGAGGAGGGGGAGCGGGGCTGAGACTCTGCCTTGAGGCCACTCAGAGGCTGCCAAATGATGCAGGCGCACGAGCCATGCCTGGTCGACTGGCTCGGCTGGCCAGGATGAGCCTGGTCCCGTTGCCCACTTCCGTCGCCAAGGTGGGCTGCTCAATCAGTCTTCAACCCCAGAAGCCAATCCGCCCTTCATCGTCTTGCCTGATGCCTTCAGTCAATTGGAGGCCACTTTCGTATCTTCTGCATGCCCCATGAATGCTTTGATTGTCCTTTCTCTGTTTTCATTTTCCCCGCGTTCGCTTCCTCCGTCAATTTATCGTCTTTTTGACGATGCCGCGTTTTCCCTGTTCGTTCGTGACCAACCCTGCGGCACCGTCGCTTCCACCTCCCACCTCGTCCCCGCTTGTGTTTGCATTGCAGGACGTGTGTTCAACGGAGATGCGTCCTGCCAGACTCGATGGGATTCGGCCAACGCAGCCCACATAGAAGGGCCGGCGCGGATACAGATTGTCTGGACAACAACGATGTTCACCTTGCTCGAGCGGCTGCCCGATCGTTTCCTTAAGTCGCATCTATGCGTTTCTGCCCAACCTTTTTCTTGTCGTCTCAGTCCATCCATGTCTCTGTCCTGTCTCGGCCTCTCCTCTTCGGGTCGTTGATGGAGGGACAAATCAGGTCAGCGATAGAACCATGCACGACGAGGCCCGAGTCTACCAACGCTGCAAAAGTGCGGCCACCGAACCGTCTCATTGGAGAGTGTCAGCCTTTTGCAGCTGTCTGCAGTTATTATTGGTGCGACTCAGCCAGTTCATCGACTGATCGGGCAGCGCTCCACTTGGAAGAGCGAGGAGGAGTTTCCTGACCGCTCTTGGGCTGGCTGCCATCACCGATTATACGAGTCTATCGCCCTAACATTCCACCCTTCAAAAACTCTTACAGCGCTTTCGTAAGGTTCACTTCGAATGTAGGACCCCGAGGTGTAGATGATCGAGCCCACAATTCTGATCCAACAGTAATGATGGCGCCTACGATCTACGCGGCCACTGGTTGGCGCTCCGGAGTGGTGTCGCCGTAGGTCGTTTTGTCACAAGTTTTCTTCTCTATCGTTGCCGATTTTACCACCGGCTAGACCTAGTGCCGTAGCGGCCGTGGCCGAGGCCTTCATGTCGCGCAGCCCCCCAAAAACACGATGTGGGCCGCCAATGTCTCGATAGTCAATAACGTTGATTTTTAGGGCAGAGGTACGCGGCGAAGAATATAACCAACTTCATATGTCATGAAGACGCCAGACTGAGAGTGTGTACAAGCCCGCTTTTTGTTTTCCAATTTACCCTTTTTGTTTACTTCTGCCATGTGGCGGTTTAATTATGACCTTGATTTCACCAGGTAGTTAGTTGCAAGTGAGTAAATCGGATATCAAAACGCACCAAGATACAGAACGATGGCCGGTGGGCACTGCTTGTATTTTCCACTGGGCAATATAATTGTCCTACAAGCGTGCCGGGGACAACAGGTTAAACCCCTACCGACCCATACCCCCTTTTTCACTACGTTGACGTCTCCTCTCTTCCGAAGATCATCCTGCTTCCAAACCCTCCGCCCCCATTGGTGCCCATCCCTTCACGAGGACTGCCACCTTCCTCCCGCCACTGGCCCCTTTTGGTCCCCTCACCCGCATCGCCCCCCATTTCTGACGAACTTACCGACTCCCCCCCTAACCACCGCTGCAGGCTCAGCTCTGCCTCCATGACAGAGCTAGCAAGCTCCCAGTTATCCATGCCCATCTGGAAGAGGCTAATGTTCATCATGCCCTTGACGAACCGGTCGTGCGGCTGGGCGGCCTTCCCGCTCGACACGATGGGCAAGAGCACCCAGTTGAACACGCCCAGCAAGGACCGCCACGTCGAGAGTGGTACGCGCCACGCGGTCGTCCAGAGCCGGAGGAACTCGTCCGAGGTGACGACGAGGCTAAAGGGACGGCGGTGCATGATGCCGCGGCTATAGAGGAGGGCGGCGAGCCGGACGGCTTGGTAGACGTGGTCCGGGGAAGGGCTATCTGCGTCCACGGTGGGGGGAAAGAGGGGCGAGGGCGTGTTGATATCGGGGGAGCGTTCCTGTGTTGGTGACCGGCGTGGCTTTTGGGAATGCTGGCGTTCGGTCTGAGGCTGACCGCGGCGTGATGGGGGCAGTTGTGGGTCTTCGCAGGCTTCCGGTATGGTCGAGGAACCCCTGCTGGGCGTTGAGCTCGCTGCCGAGGGCCGCCGCGTGGTTGGAGAGTGTTCCGGGAGACCCGATATGCGCTCGTGGATCCAGGCCGACGTAGTGTGTACCTTCTGGAGTTCCTTGGCGGACGGCTTTGCGGGGAGCGCGAGAACTGCCGCAAGGAGGAATCGCATGTCGTCGAGGATGGAGGCAACAGCAGGATGGATGTGAAGCGCGCTGGCGCACGAGGAAAACCGCACTAGGGTGGGGATCAAGGGCGTGTTGAGGGCAAGCCGGAGCGGTATTTGCGAGCTGTCGCGGAACTCGAACTCGGGGCTGCCTCGCAGGAACGGCAGGGCCTCAAAAGAGAGGGCTATGGCAATGTCGGCGCTAATTAGATGGTTAGCGATTGCCGCAGCTGGGCCAGGTGTTGAGGAGGCTCACGATATCGCAAGCTTGCTTATGAGCCCATTTAAACCGAGTGTGCGGAATCCTCCGCGGGATTTTATCATGTCCCGGAGCCCGCGCAGATGAGCTCGTAGGTCGTTGATATTCCCCCAAAGCCTGTTCTTGTTGTCAGCACTGCTGGTTTCTTCCTGCGTTAGGTGCATGGCAATGGGCCCGCCGAAGGGCAACAACATGCCATCAGCGCCAACGAAATAAAAAATAAAATAAAGACCATACCATTCGTCTAGGGTGATCTGAAGCACGCCAGCTATAACCTCATCGCTTGGCGAGAGTTGTGATCGGATGTGTTCGTTCAGAAGCTTGATTACATGCCCTTTGTGGGCCATGGCAACTGTTCTCTCGACATGGCCTGTGTCGGTGAGGAAGCACGCCGCGGAATAGATGGCGACATGTGCCAGCAGCTGTGAGTTGATGCAGTATGGAACGTAGTATTTGATGTACGGATTTGAGGCGTCTGGCTTTCCATCCAGCGAGGCGGTGAATTGTGATAGAAAGTTGACAACTGCGACAGAACCAGTAGTCAGTGGGTCGGCAACTGGGAGAAGGGAAGCTAGTAGGCAGTAGCCGTGTCGACTTACAGACTGCCAGAAGCTCCTCATTCTGCATAACTTGAGGTGCTGGCATGCGGCCAAGCCCCTGGCCCGGAACCTCAATAGGCCAGGATAGGGTGCCCGGCTCTGGAGGCACGGCTGGTACCAGTGTCCAAGCACTATGTTCCTGGCCCCAGTTGCTGGCGGTGGTCCAGTGGCCTTGGACTGATCCGTATGCTTTAAGGGTTTGTATGGCGTTGTGGACTTCATCCGAGTGTGATGTACACCCCTCCTCACAGGCCGTGATGGCCATGGAAAGGGTCTGCTGATCGGTGCTCCAAGCATACTGTCCTGCTAAACTTGGCGTCGGAGGAAGCGCAAAGATATCGAACCCAGGCCAACTAGACGCAGCGCCGTCCGCGTTCTCACCGTGCCGTTGTCCTCCCCAGGGAGATACAAGTGGCGAGTGTTGAGGAGGAAGAGGCGAGCAGAGAGATTCGGCGCCAAAACTTCCCCTTCTAGCTGGGGCTGCGGGGGTCAAAGAGACGGCGAAGGCCGGCCTCTGCGGCACCACGACGCCGCCTGAACGCCTATTTCTGGCCGTGTCAGTGAGGACCTTACCAAGCAGCGGTTGCCCGTGGGAATATTAGGATCTAACGCGCCTACTACTCGGCTTGTATTCGCAAGTCGGCTGTGGGAACCGCCTCGCACAGTTGCTGCACGGCTGCGCCTGGTTGCACTGCGAGGATCAGCATGACAATACTGGACACAGCAGGGGCGGTACGCTGCAGGCAACCCTACCAACCCATGGGCATATTCCTAAGCATAACCAGGATAAATAGCGAACATATTCAACGGTACCTTTTGCTTTCTCCGCCTGCATTCCCCGCACGATGTTGTCGTTCGTTCCGCGCGGGGAAGCCGAGGTACCGGGGGGTGCGTTAACTCGGGCATCGTTCCATTCGTAGCGACGAGCTCAGATGCCTCCGAACGACGCCTACATGGGACAGTTAGAGACCGTAGGGCTGACTTATAAGGAGATATATAAACGGGGCTCGGACAAGGATGGCGGGATCAGGCCTGAGTATGCAGGTCTTCGGATTTGAGACACCTTGGGACTAGCGGATAAGTTACCGGCTGGTTCTGGCCCCCGAGGAGCCGCTGGCGATCGAGGCGAGAGGCGGGCGAGAAGATGGATCCCAAGTTTCGAGCCGACTTACAGCGGAGGTAAAAGACAGTTTGCTTTTCTCGGGAAATCGGGTGGCATTTACCATGCAAGGCAAGGCAAAATCGCAGCTCCCAAGGGGACTAGTTAGCTTTTGGTCATGTATCAAATAAAAACATGGCTATTATTTTTGGAACAGAGAACGAGGCAACGACCAGAAGGCGAAGCTGATTAGCTGGCCCCATGCTGACTTAGAGACTCACTGCCGCAAGCTTCTCGTAATCCTGGTTCGCGGGAAGGTCACGGCACTTGTGTCGGAGGCGGTGCCGTTAGTTCGTCCCCCCCTCGAGCGGTGAGTGGCTTGTCTTGTCTTCTCGCGGCACTAAGAGCGGAGGGTTGGCTCCTACCTTGGCCATTGCCAAGACATGGGGGGAATTTGTGGTAAATGGGTGAGATCCTGTCTGAAGGGAGTAGACAAAAAAGAAGGGATATGGGAACACGGCTGTCATCCACATGCATAACGATTACCGTGGCTTACACGGCGGCGACAGTTGCACGGCACAGCAATCCCAAATGCGTAGAAACCCCCGAGAGAGGTGTGCTTGTCCGCGCAAGCAGACATCAAGGTGGGATTGACAGATTCAGGGTGGGGTGGGGGGATTCGAGTGGTCGGGTTCGTTAACGATCCAACCGAGATAATAGATGGTCTTACGATTAAATATTGTCACCGAATCGAGCGGGCAATGCGTGTGTGGTAACACTAGCCTTTCGCTTCGTCCTTCTGTATGGGGTGATCTGGGCCCGGCTGGCTGGTAGTCCGGCGGAGGCTGTGGTGCGCCCGAAGGGCTAGTGTTTTGAGGCAAAAAGTTGTGGTGTCGAGATGGTACTGGGCCTGGGAGGACGGGAGAGGTGGGACCCGGCAGGCAATTTCCTCGAAAGGCCAGACAGTCAAATGCTATGTGCGAAGTACCTAGGTGGCGCCGCTAATGGGCCAATGGACATCGAGGCGATGCCCGCAACCTCCTCTGTCCGCCCTGCCGGTGTTCTGAGGCTGGCGCAAAGAGCTGAAGACTGCGGTGGGCCGCATTAGACCATTGCAAAACTGCGGGATGTCATTTCGAAACACCCACCGTGACTGTGACTACCTCCTATCTTTGCCCGATGGGTGAAGAACATGGGGCGGCATCACTTTTTGCAATCTCCCGTTCATCTTCTCCTCACATCACCTAGATGGCTCTAGTTTCGACTCAGTATCGTCGAGAATGATGATCTCTCTCCTTTCTTTTTGAAGACCTACTAAGGTTGAAATTTTCAGAACTTTCGCATGGCCAACTGTTGCACCAACCTGTCGAAATAAAGTTGCGCATTGGACCAACCAACTGTTGCTGAAACGGCACCGGCAGACTGGGCCGCGGTGCTTTAGCGGGAAGCTTATCGAGAACCACTCCACCCCAGGAGCGAAAAGTCTGGCGATTGGCCGGTTTAAGACACCCTTGAAGAAGGTCTCAGGGTCTAGACCGGCCGGTGGACAAGGGAGTTGGTTCGAGCAGGCGCAGCACGTGCTGTGTCCAGAGACCACACGAAGAGCTGGCGCAAATGGGGAAAATGGCGGGTATGATTGCGCCGGGTCACGAGCAGGTAAAATATAGGTAGTTATTTGATCTGTCAATCACCCTTTTGACCTCTTAAATTGGTATCCATGAACCACACCCATCCAACGCCAAACTCCCTATATCCTTGTACCAACCATGTCGTCCCAGGACGAAAAAATACATGGCAAAACATCGTCTATATATCATTTCTCATGTGCTCATCAAAGAGAATTGCGGTTCATGCCGCGTCGATAGCCGCTCCTACCTCGATGGGAGGAGGAGTATTGACCCCGCTCGCAAATACGACAGGATACTACCTCGAGTTGTAATTTGGCTTTCTCGCCATATTGACCACCGGTGGTGCGTCGTCGTCAAGTGGGTAGGGTAATACCGGAGCAGATGCTCGGCCATAAGCCGCCTGGTTCTCAGGAAGTGGTGTTTTTGGGGGAAGCGGGGGTGGCACCGACGGTGGCCTGACCCGCAGTGGCGGTGGTTGCATCAAAGGATCTTCAAATCGCCTGGGGTAGTCGTCTGGTCCCGTAATTGCGATCTTGTCCGCACCTGCAGCAATTCGGTACTGCGACGGCGTCGGGGCGTTGACCACTAGACGGTCCGAGTCGTCAGCCGCACCGTCGGCGGAGCGGCCGGGCGGCGCTGGTAAGTGACCCGTGGGAGGCGCAGCCGGATAGGGTAGCTGGTTCAGTTTCGGGGATTGTCGAGGCGGCTCGCCGGAACTTCTCGGCGACGGCGTAGAGGCACGCACGGGTAACATGTCGTTCCCAGAGTCGTACGACTGCCGGCTCGATGGGCTGTGGGGAGGAGGAGACAGGGGGACGTCTCCCGGCAACTCCACGGCGAAGGGCAAGGCGATCTCGGGCACCATTTGTGTCGACGCGCCGGGCCCGGCCAAGCTGATGCGCTCCCACCTTTGCCTTGCAAAGTGAATCTTGGCTAGCTTTGCCGACGCCCCCTGCACCATCCTCTGCTCGTCCTCCCTCGCAAGGTATCTCCTGGTGTTTGTGCTAATATCCGACAGCCGATTCCACTCATTCATGCCAAACTCGCCAACGCCGACCTCGACATTCCATCGGTAATAGTGTTCAATGTTGACACCGCGCCTCGCCAGATGCTCCCTCTTCATCAACTCGTGGATCTTCTCGCAGCCCTCAATCTTTGCGATCAGCTTCCTCCTCGCATCGGCGAACTCCCCAAGAAAGCCCTCATACCACAGCGACGTATTCGCGTCGCTACCCTTTGGCCGCTTGCCAGTTCCGACGCTGAGGAAGACGCCAACCTCGCGGCCAGGCCACTCATTCACCACCGCCTCGTCGAGTGCAGTGAGGGACGGGTTGAAAGTGCCCGCGCCATCGTCATGAAATACGGATTGCCCGATCTGGATGGGCTTGAAGGCGAGGCCGATGGCGCACGTTGCCCGTCCAGCCTCCCAAATTTTGCAGTCAAACTCGGGTGCCGGTTCTCGCCGAGAGTCGTAGGAGCGCAGCATGGCCGGCGCTCCGCCCTTTGGTGTGCCTTTATAAACCGCGGTAACAACGCTAAGGGATTCATCAGCTACATCACGCTCGGAAGACTGCACCGAAGTGCTAGTAAAGGATAAGACTCACGTCTTGGTTCGGTTTTCTCGCTCGTCATACAGGCGGGCATTCGGGTTTCCACCGCGGGAGAAAGCTGGCCTTGCCGCCTGCGAGGTGGGACTCCGCGCGCTGAAACTCAGTACGCTCGCGTTGCTGGTATGCCTCTTTCGGGTGCGCAGCGCTCGAGCGCGAAGCGGAACTCAAAGGGTTGTAGATGCTTCCCGCCTCGGAGCCATCGTTGCCTTCTTTCTCGTAGATTGTATGTTCTCGAACACATTCCTTGATCGCCTCTTCCAGCTTCGTCGCCTTGAACAAAGTTGAGCGGTACGGGATGCCGGCGATGGTTTTGTCCGTTTCAAACACGATGCGGGTGAGGCGGACATATAGTTCCTTGCATGTCTCAATATCGAGGCGTAACCGGCCGAGCATCAAGGCGATCAGGCCGCCGGTGCCTGTGCCGACAATAAGGTCGAAATGATCGCATGGTTTGGGAATCTCGGATCGTCGCGGTGCCCGGCCTTCGATTTCGACAAACGTCCGGTGCATGATCTCCTGAAGGATCAGAAACATGGAGTAGCCGCGCACGCCGCCTCCATCTATCGACGAGTCAGCCACGCCTGTCCGATCGATGATGACGCAGGGGCATCCCGCCACCCAGGGGAGCGACTTACCGAGCGACAAGATGCGCAGGGGCGGACCCTTTGTCGTGTCCTTGCGCTTTAACCCGTTGGAATCCATATCACTCAATTTTGGTGCCGTCGTAGATGACAGCGGTTTTCGCAGCGGGCCTGAAAGTTGTGGTGTGGGTACCGAAGCCTGCGTGGGCTTGCGGGCCCGTGGTGATGGCGATTGATGTCGAGAGTTTGCCGCGGGGAGGCTTGGCAAGGCGGCAAGGGGAGTTGAAGGTGACGCAGGATCCAAGTCCTAACTGGCAGCGATCAGCCTGACAAAATGCAAGAGCGTCACTTGCACAACCGGGCGGGAGACGGCACACTACTGAAAATACGTATATTATCGACAAGCTCAAACAAAACAAGTAGAAACAGAACAAGCTTCGTATAAGAGTCGAGGTCAAGTCATTGTGGCAGTGCCTGAACGCCGAGTCCGCGAGTACGGATTACTGTGACGCCGAGATCCCATGCCCACTGCTCGGCTATCCCGGTGGCCTGCCCCACGCAGTGGTGTTAGTGTAGATATTACATCCAAATATTAATGTAGTCCTGCCGGCTTCCGTCATCGATTCATTTGTTCCTGCGCATTTTTGGCGCATGGGCTTGGATGGGCTGCAGCATACCGACTTGAGACTCTTGTTTTGTTGGACCCCGAGTTTCGACATCCACATGCAGCCCACTGTCCAGTGAGAAAGAAGTTTTCACAGCGGTGCCTGAAATCCGAACTTGTCCCCCAGTGGGGTGGGCCGCCAACAGGGCCTCCGATCACAGGGGAGCGTCACCAGGCTTGGCTCACCAGCTCACGTTCTCATTCGACGCCACGCACCCCGCTCATGGCAGCAGATGCGGGTTGGGGAAAGGAAAAGGATCCTTTGCACGGATTGTGAGAAACTTGTGGCTGTGTTGCCACGTTGTCCAGGTTTGAACGCACTTTCTAACCCCGGGCTTGTCGGGTTTACGGGAGATTTGAGGATCGACGAAAGCTTTCTGGAGGCGAACCAGCCACAGAGGGTTTGAAAAGGGGAGGAGAGCATTTGGGTGCTCAGCTCACTCAGGTATGGCAAGCTGTGGCTTGACCTGGAGCAGGGTTGGTTGGGTTGGCACCAGTCACGACGTCATCGTCTCATCCTTGGCTCGCCGGGTTCAAGTCGTCAACCTATTGAACCATAACCGCTGCCCATCGGCAGAATGAGAAGCACGATGGTTCACGGGCTTGATTTACTCGCTCCTAGGTCCGGGTCGCCATGACCCATAAACCAATCGATACTTCATAAACATCACCACCGCCATCATGTTCTCTGCGTGCTTTGGAACTGGCCGTCGCCGGTGGTCAGAAGAACAAGAGCAGGAGCCGCTGCTCCCCCAGTATGATGATGCTACTTCGCGCCAGCGACGCCTTCACCAGAAGCTGCACACATACCAGATGCTCCGCGCCTTGTCCAAGGGATTCATGCCATCTAACGATCAGACCATCATCAGCCTCCGTACTCTACTTGCTGCTGACATGCTCAGCCCAAACAGCAACACCCAGCTCAGCGACTCCGGACGGGCCCTGGTGCACTACGTCAAGCAATGGTTGAAGCAGTTGATCGAGCTCCTGCAGCACAAAAATGCAGGCGACCAGATTCAGGACTTCCTCTGGTATTTGTCACAGGCAAGAGTGTCTATTGACATGGAGCACATCGCCCAGCGCGCTAGCAAGGCTAAAGCTACTGCTGACCGGGCGGCAGGTACGTGGCAGCATAACGCAGGTGGTATAATTACTGCGATGGGTGCTAACGGGAGTTTAGTGTACCGCAGCCTTCAGACTGTTGGCTCCCTGCTCCTTACCAACTCGGATTTCCGCTTGTTCCTCAGCGACCTCGATGTTGTCGCTCGCGACGTCTTTAAAGACACAGCGTTCGCCATTTCCGAAGCCTCGCAAGAGGCTGGCAAGCGCCTTGGGCCCTCTAGCGCAGAACAAGATTCGGTAAAACAGCTAATCAACAACTCCCGGAGCCCGCCGTCGCAACAAGAACTGGTTAACCAGACTGCCGAATTTTCCGATGTTCTGAGTGGAACAGCCTCTGCGGTTGCCGACGAGGCCGAGAACAGTGTGCTCCAAAGGTTAGAAGGCCCAGAGAAGGGCGCAATGGTCCGCCGCCTAAAGGATACTGTGATGAATCTTCGTCAACGCCGTGACTACTCGAATTCGGTCACCACGCTGTCGCTTCTCTTCAAGCGCTATGCGGTGGCTTACTCACGCATTGCTCGTGACGCAGTTCAGGCCGTTGACGAGGATGTAGATCATAATCGTGAGATGGATCAGGCTCTGCGGAACTTCTGGGCCTTCCTCAGGTCATTTGGCGAGAAAAACCACTGGGAGGAGCTAGAGAAACGAACCAACGCAGTTATGGAACATGGACGCGAGGACCCCGATTTTGAGGACTTCGTGGGACAATTGGGAAACGCGCTCCAAGATATGTTTACCGACCCGTCCTTCTTCGACAATGCCGAGCAGCGATTCCAGGAGCTCCGCGCTCATTTCAGACAGGTATCGTCTCACTCTTCTCTGCGGGACGACGTAGACGAGTTGTTGTCGCAATTGCAGTCAACCTTGTACTCGGTGCTTAGGGACAAGGATGTGGCCAGCCTCATCAAGACGTCAACCACCATCGGCAGCATCCTATCGCCAAAAAACCACTACGCGAACTCGGACCTGTTGGCGGACGCAATCAACGTGTTTGTCCCGTTACTAATTCAGTCGATCAATTACGTCCCTATCCCCAGGCTCGAAGTTTCCACACCCCAACTGGACCTCCTGCTCGAGAACCTCGTCCTCGAACCCGGCAGTACGATCAACCATACATCATTCTTTCCCTACAAGCTTCGCATTGAGACGCTCAATGATGTCGAGATCCGCAAGGCAAGGTTCCGGACAACGTCGGCCGTCAAGACATTAATGAGGGTCAGAGTAGACGGCTTCTCGGTCCGGGCGGAGGAGATTGGTTTTTGGCTCCGAGCACATTCAGGCCTCTTACGGCTAGCAGACCAAGGAGTTGCCTCGTTTGAACTTGACGAGAGGGGTCTTGATGTCCAGCTCGACATCGAAGTTGGCAGGGACAGGCTTGAAAAGATCCTCACCCTCAGGGGCGTCAAGGTGCGTATCCACAAGCTCAATTGGAAGTTGCGGCGAAGCAAGTTCAGCTTGTTTGCGTGGATTTTCAAGCCCTTCCTCAAGCCCATCATTCGCAAGACCATGGAGATGAAAATCGCAGCTGCCATCGGAGACGCCTTACATTTCGCAAACCGCGAGCTCCTCTACGCGCGAGAAAGGCTCCGGGCCACACGAATTGCGGATCCGGAGGATTTGAAAACCTTCTTCAAGGCTGTGCTGGCGAGGCTAGTCCCTGCTGATGATCCCGACCTCTACACCAGGATCGGGGTGGCACAGCCAGGGCACGGCGTGTTTGAGGGTGTTTATACTCCCGGTAGTCTCGTCAAGCTTTGGAGGGACGAGGCCGCTGAGGCGCCGCAAAGGATCCGCGAGAATGAGAGAGATGGCTGGCGGAACAGTATTTTCGACGTTCAGGCGAGGATGCCCACTTGAGCACGCTCTAGATGGCGATAGTGGGCGGTGCAAAAATTGGTCGGTCAGGCAACCGAGTATCACGGGTATGGCTTGTCGTTTCTCCCTTCGACGGCATTTGAACTTTCATTGGTTTAAATTATCACATTTTCCCCATACGCGTCTAGGTATCTCATTCAGCATCACTGGTGTGTATCAACGTTAGGCACCCGCTACTAGGGCCCTGATTAATGGGTGGCTAGCACAAACTGACACATGACATAATTATTTGAATGCGAGCAACTGACGGTATACGGCCCTAGGGAAGTGGTCTCGTTGTTTGGGTGGTTCGAGGGTGGCCGTGAGACACGTGGGAGGATCGAGAAACAAAAACAGGGTCTGCAACACCCGGCCAGGCAGTAACCGACCGAGCTGACGTTGGGGGGCATGCTGGCATCAAGCTCCCACTCCTAAAACATAGTAATTTTTTTTTTTGTTGAATGGCTAGTATACAATGGCTAATGGCGAACGACTTGACGCTCAGCCGGCCGTGGAATATGGCCAGTTGCTCGTGACACGGGGTATATATGTAGCTTGGTAGCTGCCCGTCCACTCCACGAAGCTCATGTATAGTCGACGTCCTTTCCACACTTCGCATTATAAATCCCTTCTCGATCCAAATACAACAATACGCCGCTACAACGTACAAAAGCAAGAGAAGCTCAGCTGAGCGCTAACTAACACCTACAACATGATCCTCTCGGACCTTTTCTCAGTCATCCTCCGCCTTGCGGAGCTAGTCTTTGCAGCCATCGTAGCGGGCCTCGCCGGCGAATACCTGCGGATTTTCCGGCACGCCGGCTCGCGGTGGCTCGCCCGTCACATCTACACCGAACTAGTTGCGAGCTTCTCGATCCTTTTCGCCATCGTCTGGCTGGTCCCCGCCACCGGCTCCTTCGTCCACTGGCCGGCGGATCTTTTCTTCAGCGTGCTGTGGTTTATCGCTGTCGGACTGCTTGTTGACTGGCTGGGCGGCAACTGCGGGTGAGCGGCCATGGTCATGGTCCCTAAAACGCCCCTACAGTGAGAAAATTGGCATCGAGGGGTACTAATAGTTGGATTTCAGTTACGCCTTTGACTGGCGCGACCTTTCTTTTAGCGGGTCCGCTTCTTGCTCGCAGTGGAAGGCCACCATTGCCTTTGCTTTTCTAAGCGCGATATGCTGGCTCTTGAGCGGTATCCTAGGGTAAGGAGGAACATCCCATTGAACACCCGAGGCGAGCCCAAATATGTCATGCTAACCGATGGGCCAGCACCTACTGGGTTCGCCGCCGTATGGCCCCGGGCAATACCGGCCACTACGGTGGTCGCCCTTGGAACCGTTAACACCTGGAGGCGGCTGGTTATCCAGAATCCTACTTCTACGGTGTTCTCAAGTCCAGTTTCGATACCCCATTTTCTTAGCAATTTCCCTTTCCCGACGTCTCCCGGTTGGGCGCGTTTCGTCTCCGCGTTAGTGGTTAGTTTTGTGGCCATTTGATGGTCTTGTTGTATGATAGAAGTCATTCCTAGCTCGATTTAGACATGAAGACAGCTTAACCCGGTTTCCCCAGCACATACATGAAACACGAGAACGGGATAGGGATCATGGCCATGGCTCTTCGTCCCAGGTTAGCCATTTTCTTAGATGCCCGAGCAAAGTAACGTTGTTTTGTGCCTCTCGGAGCTGATTGACACGACTGCCGGGTAACCCTGCAGTTGTCATTCAAGCTGCCAAGATGGTTCCTGAGAGTCCGTGAAGTTCCCCAAACCCCAGAAGTTCACAGGTGCCTGAGAAGACCAGGTTTGCCAAGCTCCTGAAACAGTCTCATGCAAGGTCGGGCCGTGGCCGTGGCCCGTTGTTGGCGCTGAAGTCAAAGACGTCACAACCAGCAAAATGTGGGGAAGATGACGGAGGAAGGGCCCACCTCACTCTTTTAGTGCAGAACTGGTTGTGATGTTGTCAGGTTGTGTGTGTAGTTACACCACACCACGTATGCACGCACAGCTTCTTTTCTGACTGCCAAGTATGTATGCACGCCCGGCATATGAGAGCAGTGCAGCAGGCGGCAAGATCGCCGATGATTGATCGCTGGTTGAGCAGAGAGATCGTCGAATCTAGAAGTGTGGCGTAGAAACCAAGGAAGGGAAAAAGAGAGAGCCAACAATGCAAGAGGCGTCTCCGAATCTTGGCAGCTTGGCATACCTCCGCCACTGACAAGCCACAGATACTTTTTTCTTGCTTGCCCCCTGATGACGCCAGTTCCCCAGTGTTCCTGAACACCAAATAGCCTTTGTCCACTAGATACATGGCTTGGAGATGGACTTGCTCCATATTCTGTGGGGAACTGTATCCGCTGTGCCGCTTCAGTACCTGCGTGTTTGTGGGCATTCCTCCTTCGTTGCTGCTTTCAGAGAGCGGATATGCGAGAATGACGTCGATGAGGTAATGGCCCGCTCCCAGACGATGCTGTTTGGTCTCGCCAGCATTCGCTTTTCCCGCGAAGAACCTGAGACCCCGGATAGAGACGTACAGTCACTGCTGAAACCGGCGGGAGATGATGCCACTGACGACATAGGAAACGGGCCCAGCTTGCCTGGCAATGACATGAAAGCTGGCAGAAGGAGAAGGGATACCGAGGAGACAATAGATATATAAGGGGGCCTTATTCTCCCCAGTAGACCGGCTGTATCTCTTCTACCATCATCACACAAACAACACACTTCAAAGACTCAAGGTCCCCAATACGAACCCCACAATTGCAACACCCCAAAACACTTAAGCACAGAAACACCACCACAAACCATCAACATGTCAGGCATCGTGAACAAGATCAAGGAGGCCGTCCACAGCGACAGCAAGTCCCACAGCGCCCCTGAAGGCACCCATGGCCCTCACAACAGTCGTGTCGCCAACGCCGCAGACCCGCGCGTCGACTCTGACCGCGATCACTCATCCACTATCGGCACTGGCCGCACCGCTGGTCACGGGGAGTACGGAAACACTGGCTACGTCACCGGCGCCACAACCGGCACCGGCACCGGCCGCACTGCAGGCCACGGAGAGTTTGGCAGCAGCGGTTACGGCACTGGCACCGCCGAGGGCGCACACGGTCCGCATGGCAGCCGCGTCGCCAACGCCGTAGACCCTCGCGTCGACTCTGACCGCGACAACTCCCGCACCATGGGCACTGGCACCGGTGCCGGCTTGGGCTTTGGCACCACCGGCACCCACCACACAGCAGGCACCGGCACCGGTTTCGGCTCCGGCACAACTGGCACTCAACACGCCCCAGGCGGGTTCGGTTCCGGCACCACTGGCACCCACCACACAGCTGGCGGCGTCGGCGCCGGCTCCGGTATCACCGGCATGACCGGCACCCACGGCGCGTCCGAAGGCACCCACGGCCCGCACAGCAGCCGCATGGCTAACGCTGCCGACCCGCGCGTCGATTCTGACCGCGACGGTCGCGGCGCGATCGGTACCGGGCCCGGTCCCGCGTCCAACACCGCTGGCCCCCACCAAAGCGACATGGCCAACAAGATGGACCCCCGCGTCGACTCCGACCTTGACGGCAGCCGAACCATGGGAGGAAACAAGACTTACCAGTAAGTAAGTAAACCGTTCTTAAAACACAAACGGAGGGGAACGAGAGCCTCGCAGCTCGAATTCTCCTTTCGTGTGTGCCATCTTTATTATCCACAGGGCTAACCCGGTGGTAACTAGATCTGGCACCATGTCGGAACATCGCGACCCAACTGACGCCGCCCAAGTCCCTCCCTCAGTCTTGAAGAAGCACCTCGGGGGGGCCGTCGATTGAGCACGAGGACACCACCCACCATCGCGAGAGGCGAAACAGTATCAAGACACACCAGGAGTCGTTTAGTGGCATCTGATTTGGTCTTTTTCGGTCGGATGGATAGTCAGGCAGAATGTATCATGACGCGGTTTATGAAGCCTTTTCTTTTGTTTTGCCATTACACTCGACTGTACTATTAGCAGATACCACGCAGCACGAGGTTATCCTCTTGCGATCATAATGATCGGAATTTGAAGGCCGTTGCCGTTTAGGAAAACTCCCAAGTCATTTGGATTGAACCTTTGTCGAGTAATTTTCTAACATGGTTTCTGATGCTGCTCGCCCCTACTACCCCTGCCCACTTCACTTGATGCTCAGGAGTAAGTGACTTGCTTCCCCATCAAGCTTCGGTAAGCATCATCAAGGGCCTTTCTCTTCTTCGTCTTGACTTCGTCACCCTCCTTTGCGCTCCTAACTTCCAATTCATCATCTGCGCCCTCAAGTTGTGGGAGCCAGGCCCGGATTTGACCGTCCAGATGGCCACTAAATATGCCGCCAGCGGTGTTGCTTCCGCCCATAACCACACCGCTTGAGCTGCCGCCTCCACCGGCTCCTCTCCACACGACTACAGAGGGCGTTAGCTCCGTTGGTAGAAGCAGGAGCCGGTAATGTACAATGACACTTACTACTAGTTACCCGATTCCGGATGCTCTTCTCGCCCCCTCGCTGCGTCCCGACCGAGGCAACAACCGGGCCCGTATTACGTAGCCTCGTGACGATAGATCCTTCATGTAGGTCCATGATCAGAATTTCCGACTCGTTCGGGAAGAAAAGCAGCTCACTCATCGGCGGCGTGAGACCGATGGGCGAGACAAACATGGTTATTGTGCCCACCTGACTGTTGCGGATGCTCGGGCCAAAGTTAGCCAGCGTGTTTGCACCCGTCGCCGCATCCCAGACACGGATACGGCGGTCATGCCCCGCAGTGATGAGGTAGGCGCCGTCATCGGTCCAAGTGAGGCCGTTAACGGGGCCAGTGTGTGCTTTCGCTGTCAAACGAGGCGCGTGTCCTTGCAACGATGGCCCCCCGTCGGCTAGGCCAATGATGTCCTCCTGGTCAAGAAGCGCGACCAGGCCGTTGGACTTTCTCACATCCCATATGCGCACTGCTCCGTCTACCGAGCCGGTAGCCAGAACATGTTCGTGGACGGGGGACCAAGCGACTGCCAGAGCTGCCCCGGCCGAGCCGCCAACTTGGCCCGGTGACACCAATGACTGCACCGCTGCAGAAGAGCGTAGGTCCACGAGACGGACAGCGGGGTGCTGCGTCCCGCATGCGACGAGGAGATGGGAGGCGATCAGGGAGATGGCATGGGTGTAGACTCTGGCGCCGAGGGCGAAGGAGCCGGACACAGATACTCTCTCGGTGGACCACAGCTTCAGAGTTTGGTCATGAGAGCATGATAAGAAGGCGGCGCTATCAAAAGGGTAGAAAGAGACGTGAGTGATGCCGAATCGGTGTGCCGGGGCAGAGACCGGAGTGCGCTGGTCGGAAGACTCGGGGCTGGCACGGGAAACCGTGGCCACGGGTCGGTAGGTGTGGGGTTGTGAGGGGCTCGGGCACTTCTCAAGATCCCAGAGTTTGATAGTTGCGTCTGAGCCACCAGAGATCATGCTGTGCGGCGCCATCAGAATAACGGAAGCCCCGGGGGCGGGGGCAGGCACGATGGGTACTCACATACGGCCATCAAAACGCTCCAGAGCCAAGGCACTGACACCAGCCTGGTGCGCCCAAATAGATGTGCTTTCTATGCCATCTGCGCTCCCAGAGTTGCCGGCAGCCGACACGGTCCCGTTTGCAGCATACTCGCCGCCGTCAAACCGGAAGCGAGGGGCCGCCGAAAAAGACCTGAGGAGCGACGTTGACTGTATTCTCGCAAACTCATTCGGTCCGATTCTGCCTGCCGACCGCTCAAATAGGAGCGGATTCATGCCATGGGCTCATTCATGGGACCGGGAGGGTTGGCATATATGGCGTGCTGGTGATGATGTTGTTATGTCGTCGTGGTCAGTGGTGAGGTTGTAGGTGGTAGTTAGGGCGGGGCCGTTATCGCTGAGTGAGTGGCCTATGCTGAGTGAGTACCCGGCCTGTGCACGCGCGAACCTCAAAACAATGGAACTTCCATGCTACCAAACTTCCATGTTGTTAGAACCCGAAAATGTTACCAGTTCCTCGACAGCACTCGCAGTGATACTACCTAGTGATTTTTATTTTCTTCAACGGCATAGCGGGCACACGCCAACCCATTCACCTCATGGGTTCCCGTGAAGACCGTTCGTTGATCCGATAAAATCCGAGTTTCCCTGCTTGCGCTTCACGGGCGGAAGTATCGACGTCGTTTCATTGTCCACTACCCGAATATTGACGACTTTTCCACTGGTTGTATGGACTCGTCGTCACATCCAAGAGCCTCCAGCTCGGATGGGAACACATCGCCACCGCCACTACCTCCATCGACTTCATTTCCGGACAATATGAAAAGGCCCCGAGGCCGGTTGGCCAATGTCTATGATGCCGTCGCGGGTATGTCCTCCAATGGCCAAGTGCACAAGCAGCACACACGTACTTACCGGTTCTAGGGCGTGTCACGCTGAATGGGGCACTCAGTGACTCGGAGACTGCCGTGAGCAGAAGCAAGCGCCGTCTGAGCGTAACTTCTGGTCGCTACTCGTCGCGCAACCCGAAACTGGCCCCCGAGGAGGCTCTGTTTAAACGTAGGAATGCCCCGGTCCGGTATGCGGAGCAGGACATCTATTGGGCCAACGAGGATCTCCCTGACGGTGGACGCGATCATCTCCCCGACACTAACCTGCTACGGTCTGTACACGGTTATGCTAGCAAGTTCTACGACGCAACGGCCGATCGCTTGGGCCCTCGCTGTGTCGTCGGGACGAGGACTATTGACGAGAAGAGCATGGATGAAACCGCCTTGTTGGCGATGGGCATCTTGCTAGAGGAGGCCAGCCGCGAGGTTTTAGGCAAGCGGGGGGATATCGTGTTCACCGAGGCCTCGACAGAGCCTACGTTAGCGGTTAAGGCGGCGCCGGTTACCAGGTCACCCCGGCCGGTATCTGAGGGTTCCCGGAGTGCCGACGAGATCCCCAGGACTCAGAACCATCGGAAGGCAAAACGAAGAAAGGTGGCGGAGGGAAACACTGCTGCGAACGAAACAACTTGAACGGATCGAGTTCCATTGTTGGGAAAAAGCAAAGCCACACGTTTCCGGTGTGGGAGTCCCGGCCGCAGGGGGGGTCGCAAACACCGGATGAAGCATCGATTCCCATTTTGAGATGTGCTGGGCACGCTCTTGGAACTTTGCCACGAGAGAATGCTAAGAGGCCGACAGAAAGAAGGAGGAGTCCGGAGGACGTGGTCTTTAATCATCCGCGGTTTAATTACCATTTGCCCGTCTCCGTTGGGGTAATGGCACTGGGGGCTGGCATCGGCGCCAAACCCACACCACCGGGTCGTGTTGAGAAAAGCAACAACCCCAGACGGCGGGCATGATGGCGCTTGGCCACTCAAAAGAAGCCCGTTGTCAGCTCTTGGCTAGGGATCCATATGCATGAGAGACCAGAACCATTCACCTCCTCGTATACTCACCACCCCCTCCGCCAAATCTGAGGTCATGAACCCTCCGACCCTGGCTCGCAATATTAAATAGAATGTTGCCGCCGTTTGCACTAGACATCGGATATCTAAGGCGGTACGGCGTGTTCTCGGGACCGGCCTCATGACTGATCACGTTGTCCACTCTTCTGCTCCTTCTTCCACGGCCGGCTCCAGTCACTTTCGGTTGCTAGATCTTCATCCAATCATCAAAGATTACCATCGTGACCTCCAGCAGCCAGCTTTGGTTCGCACAGTGCAGGGCATGCCGCGTTTACCGATTGGGCGCTGGGTGTCTCTGTACACAGTACACAGTCCACAATGGTCATGTTGGTGGTCGCAATCTGGGATCGGGTCGTGGGGTGGCCATCGGAATTTGTGAAAGGGGCATCAGAATGTCCAAATACCACCGTTCTGCAACAATTTATCCACTTTCTCCAGCTGCGACCAGAGAGACATGTGCTCAACCAGGGCGGCACTTCTCGGCGAGTTTTCACTCACTGTCCTGAATGGGAATCCCCCCGTACATGGAACGACTTATGGTGAACTACCTATTACCCCGTGGACAATTCCGAGTATCGTCGTTTGCATGCTGGTGTCGTTTGCATATCAGGTCGTCTTCCTCTCTTCTACGGCCCACGGCCACACTACTTACCACACAGTAGGCCAAAGACAACAAAGGAAGAGGAACGTGCCATCCATGCCCGTGACCAGTAATTATGGGACTCGATGGTTCCGGGGCTGGAAGTTACATGTTTGTGACGATGTAGAAATGCCCTTTCAAGTACCATATAGTCCTGTTGGTATCGAGGACGCCCCTGAATTCATACCTTCTGTATAACTTGTATTCGACCATACTTTGAAGAGGGAGACACTTGGTCGGAAGAATCTCGACGCTTGTCGTTCGGACTGCCCAGGGTGTCGGAGGCAATGGCGTCCGTTGCCCGCTTCACTTTCTGTTTGATTGGCATCTAAGCTCGGCCAACCCCGCTGCTCTTCAGGGAACTTTGCCTCTTCAAGATTCAAGCAACGACCACAATTCCGCAGATCACGTCCCTGGTCAGTGCCAGCCCGACGGATCCTTGGTTTATCGCCGCACGGATGTTCGCCCTTGGGGTAGGGGTTTCGGGGGGTTCATGGCTACCAAGGAATTGGGGGCAGCGCTCAACGACGCGGGATCCGGGAATCACTGACCAACCGGCTGAACAGAACCTGGTGTGCCTGGCTCCACGAGATAGTTATCTCGCTCCTGCCGTCCAGGCTGCCCGGGCAGCCCGAGAAAACGTGGCGTGAGACTCAACGTCTTCCACGACATGGGCACCACGGCCCCTCGAACCCCCCTCGTTGTCATCTTCGTGGATGATCGATGTTTTCCCCCGGTCTCAACGACTGGTGGTGGAGCTTTCATAATTCATCTTGCTTTGGAGTTCCTGATATCCGAGATCTCGGCCAAGAAAATAGCCAAGCGAGCTGCTTCCCAGGCCCTCGGACCTTGCCCACGTTCTTGGAACTCCTTGTTATCAAATGATTGGACAAGACGCCTGATCCAGTTCCATAACCGTGTCTGCGGGCCGACACTAATATAATACCATCAGCCATCAGCAGACACACCGGACGAGTGAATGGGTTTGGAGGCAGCATGGGCATGCGGCTCTTGGTAGCCACAGTTGAGCAACTGCCCGGTTGTTTGGGTCCAAGCTACCTCTACGACTCCTGTGTCACTGCCCACGAGGCTAGCCGGCGCTTTGTTTTTAGAACGTCGGACGGTCGGGGTGACGCATGCGGTGGTAGGTGATAAGTATACTCTGCTTTTTGAAGTGTTGACATTCCCCATTGTAGGGAGGTACGTCTTTTGGAGGTATTTACCACAGTAGTTATTCCCGAACGTGAGTGACATCGGTGACAGAGGCAGACCGCCGGCACATTTGCAGCTTCAAACTTCCCTTCGCGGTGAGCGGTGAGCCGACATTGCCAAGGCCATCACCCTTCCAGGGCCAATGAGGGCGTATCGCAACCCACGCTTTTTGGATTTGTGCCTGTCACGGGAAAGTCTGGTGGAAAAGCGTTGCTTTCCCCCACGTTTGGCCCTGCCTGATTTCAAGCAGGAACTTTGATTCCACACTGTCCTGGCATCTCCCCAGCTTTCCAACTCCCTCATCGAGATCTCCCTTCGACGTTTTCGTGAAGGACAATTTGTTTGCCGTTTGTAGAATAAAGTATCGCCGTTGTGCGCCACTGATGCGGTGAGTGCCTTCTGTTTTTCCTGTTTTGCCTTCTTTCTTTCCTTTCTTTTTACCCCCTCCTCTTACCCCACAGAGTTTCACCATGGAGCAGTCTGGGGGGGGCTGAATGGGGTGCTTGGAATGATCGATGATGTGCGTCCGCAGGTGCAGGCCCGCGCCAGAGGAAGAGCCCTGAAAGTCTGGCACAGCCCCCGTCCAAAGTCGGCCGCAAGGCCCCGTTGTCGGGTCGTCGGTACCGCATGGTACTCGTTCGGCGAGTGTGGTGCAGGCAATCAGGGCACGGTGCGGGATCTGACCCTTGTCCACGATGCTGCGCGCCCAAAATTTGGGTCGCAATGTTGCAATGGGCGCTGGCTGCTGGTTGCCCCGCTGTTTCTGCTCCCTGCCCACCACGCGCGCTCATGCATGGCACCTCTCCCGGCGCTCTGTCTGTCGGGTGGGATGAACACCCTTCCCACCCTTCCCGCTTGAGGCTGGATAGCGACGGCTTCAGCGGCCTTGATGCACTCCTCGCTCGCTTCGGCCAACACAGTACGGTCTGTCGGTGCATGTACATACATCCATAAATACTTACATCCGCTAGGGTGGGATTCAAGTGCATCTGCTGGCCCACTGCGCCGCTCATCACCACGGCTCGGGGTTTTGCGCCGGCCAAAGGCGGAGAGGCCCGCCGTGTTGGATGAAGCAGAGGTTGTGCTGGTCGCCCCTGCCCGTTTGTTTCTGGCGTTGCAGGTCTTTGTCGAGCCGAGTTTCGGCTTGGCATCCATGGATTGGCGAACTTTCCTTGGACGCCACCCATGCGGCGGAATCGCTGCAATCGCGTTGGGCGATAAAATCAAATCTCCGCAACCCTCGTTCGGGGGCCGCCCATCCCCGTCAAAAAGAAATGGGACAGCTGCCGAGCAGAACGGAGAAGCAAAAGAGGAATGTTCTGGCCCGCCTGCATGGCACGGCCGAGGAAGACGAGTCACCTACCCAGCTTGCCGAGTATCAAACCAGCCTCTCGTCCCGAATCCACCATTGTCAGCCCGGTGACCCCCCGCTGACCAGTGTCACAAGTGCCAGTGCTGACATCCTTTTTGCCGGTCTGGCTTCGGCAGGGTATCTGTCACCGCCCGTCATCAGCCCCCCGTCCCACGGTTTTCTGTCACTTTTGAGCAAACGAGCTTGGTGAAGTCGCAAGCGCGCGACGTCGCAGTGAGGCGAGAAAAGAAAGGAAAAAAAGTCCCAGACATCCAACGCGAACTGTGTGGAAGCCGCTTCTTCAAGCCCGCCCATTCGCCGATGACCCAAGCAACCGGCGCAAGAGCGGGAGCCGCTTTCCTCGAAAGAGTGGAGCAGAGAGAAACCCCCCGGACCGAGTGGGGAGTGTGGAGACCCACCCGTTTGCGCGCCTCTGATTGTCCAGCGACACCCCTGACTTCTCTCCACCATCCTGGTACTGTCCGGGGTCCCTGCGACGTGCTCGGCGCCGTTGATGACCAGAGCTCAATTTGTTTTCTCGCCAGGCCCAAAATACCGCCTGACCGGTTCCCGCTTCTGCCATTGACCGTCTCCTGCGACACCACTCCATCACGCTGCGCCGCCTGGCAAGTCTCGCACAAGCTGGCCTCTTCGTGTGTGATCCGATACGCTAGTTATCCCACTCTGGGGGCTGCAATACGTTGACGGAAAACACGGGAGCTGCCCTACCGCCGGCCTGCCGAAACCCGTACCGTACCCTTGGACCTTGGACCGAGCTCTCTTTTTCGCACTCCCCACTCCGCCCACCCCAAGTCGCGAACGCGCAACACAGACCACATCCCGTTGCTGCCCGACTCGTAGCTACGGGTCCCTGCTCGGGCGAACTGCTGTTGAGAGAGGCGGACTCCGATCATTGAGTTGAGGGGCTCTTCCCAGTGCGAACCAGAGGTCTTTCTAACACGCACCCCCCCCCCCACCCCCCCTTTTCCGGGGGGTTTTACAAAACGCCTTGGGCCGAGGGTTCTTGGACTATTCAACACCTCCCGGTGGGCCGTAACTTGTGTCTGACGGCCACAGTCACGGGGTTTGCCGAATCCCCTGCCTGGCTCGTTTTCAAGCAGGCGCGGGCTGACCTCCCCGCTTGTGCTCCATGCTGCCGCGGCAAGCTTCCTGCTGCCCCGTTGCTTGATCTCGCCTCTGGCCACCGCCATCTTGGTGTCAACAGCATTCATGTACATGCATGTATAAAGACCCCAGCCATGGACCAAGGGCCGCCCGACACCAAGCGACCACGCCTGTCGACTGGCACGTCATGGTCAGTTGGGGGTTCACACCACGGCGTATCTCTGCTCCATCCCACTCCCTCTCCCACTGCTGGCCACCTGCCTCATCATCCCCCACCGTCGACCCAGTATCAGCAGCATTCACCGCTTTCCTTTGCGCGCCCTCTCGGTCCCGGGGATCATCCTCCGCACCCGCCGCATCCGCATCCGCCTCCTCACCCTCATTCTCACCCTCACCCTCACTCGCATTCCCATCCTCATCCTCCCGCATCGCAAACGCCCATCGACGACCGACGGCAACATGAACCGGACAGGTTTCCGCCAATGCAAGAACACAGGCAGCCTCCGCATTCGCCGGCACACCCGCCCTACCCTCCCTACCCTCCCCGCGAACCGATAATTAAGACGGACCCTGCCGATGACACGCTGCCGCAGCTGCGCAGACCACTCTCGACCGGCGGCGGCGCCCAGGATAACATGACGCCGGTGACGCCGCACTCCGCTGTCCCACCTCCACCCCACTCCCAACCTTACGGCGAAGATAGGCGGCATATGAGCTTCGACAACGGCCCACAACCGCCCGTGTACAGTAGACAACAGAGCTATCAACCGCAGACCCCGGTGCCACACCCTCAGCCCTACGACTACCCGCCGCAGTATGCGTCGCACGGCGAACTCGCGTATCCGATCCAAGTCGCCGCCGCCTCGGGGAAACGCAAGGCGCAACGGGCATCTCAGGTTTGTGATCCGGCCGAGTCTGGAGCAACGGCTGGCGCTTACTAACCACGGATGGAATAGGCCTGCGATATGTGCCGGCAGCTAAAAGCTAAGTGCGACGAACTCAAACCATGCAAGAGCTGTAAGGAAAAGAAGGTCGAGTGCAAGTATCGGGAGGCCGTCCCGAAGCAGTAGGTTGCCTCCCGTCTGGGCTGCCATACCCGCTGCCGAACTGACCCGCAAGCTACAGACAAGACAAGATCGCAGGAGACATTCTAGATACCCTCTTGGCGCTGCAGAGCAGATTCGACTCCTTTGACCGGCGCATGAGCGGAATCGAGCGTGCAATGTTGCGCAATGGAACCTCCCTGGACGTACATGCCGAGCCCCTGCATGACGACGACGAGCGACCCGAGTCGGCAGAATCAGCGCACCCTACAGCAGAGCCTGTCGGCTCATTATCACCGAGAGAGGGTGGGGATTACGCCCCCATTGGCAGTGTCGAGGCAAGGACGATAACGCGAAATATGGAGGAAGAGAGAGAGGTGGAGCCAGGGCCCGCCGTGCGACCAGGCGTCCCGTCCATTCCCATAAATCACACCACACTGGCCGCTTTTTTGCTCAAGTGGCGGCCTATATCGTTCCTCGTCCGGGACATCTTGGAATCCGAGAACGTGAGGTACGTGGACGAGTTCCCCATTCGCCAGGAAGAGAGGCGAGGCGTCCTCCGAGTCTGGGGGCGTGGTGAGGGCCTGGAGAGCAGCCTTCGAGTCGACAAGGCGGACAAAGAGGCTCTCCGGGATGTGGGCGTGATGGAGATGGCACTTGACGACGCTTCGGACACTGGCGCGCCCTCTCCTGCTGATTGCTGGGGCGGCATCAGCGGCTCGCCTGGCCCGATCGACGGCAAGCCCGTCATGTCTATGCAGACCCCGGACTTTAGTGAGGTACTGGTGTGGAAATACGTCAAAAGCTTCCACGATAACATTCAGAACATGCATCCGCTTATAATTCCGCGCGAGCTGGATGCGATGGTGAAGCTGTTCTTGGACACGGTCCAGCAGAGCATAAGCAGACAGCCGCAGAGTCGGATCGCCAAGTTTGTTAGCACATCATCGTCACAGTCCGAGACCGGATCCAAGAGAAAGCGGTCGCCTGCCCCGGACGGCGCCGAGTCGCCTTCGGCGTCGCCCAAGTCGTACAAACCCGCCTTTCAGCGGTCCATCAATAACGCGCTCGTTTTATTGGTGCTTGCGCTCGGAAAGATATGCCTGCACAAAGACAAGATCCCCGATGTGGTACCGGTCAGTGAGCCTCCCCCGCACGGCTCACCTTTGGCCCGGAACGGGTACCCGGCGTCTCCAGTACAGGGCTCCTCGCCCTCCCAAGCGTCCCACTCCGCCGGCCTTCCTTCTCCAAAGGACGGCTCCGAGCGCCCCGGACCCAGCAGGCGAGCCTCATTCCAGGGAGGCGGGGCGTCCATCCGGGGAGGAACCTCCCCGAAGAGGAATATGGACGTCATCCCGGGTTTGGACTACTTTGCTTATGCCACCGACATCATGGGCGGACAGTTGGCTGGCAGTAGCCTCCGGCACATCTACGCATATCTCCTAGCTGGGCTATACCACGGGCAATTGGGAAGGGTGCTGGAGAGCTATGCTTACATCAAGGAGGCTGGCTTTGCATTGCAGATCAAGATGAGACCGTAACCAACACCTGCCACTGTTGCTCAAATGCCCATCGCTAACCCGACAACAGGAGCTTGGATCGATTCAAGAGGCTGCATGAAATTGGCCGGCAGGGCGCGGTGACAGAGAAGTCGGACAATCAACTCGTCTTTGCCTTCTGGACCTGTCTGCAACTCGAAAGGTAAGCCCGGGCCGTCATCATCCAGACAAAGTGAAAAGACGCCATGTCCCTTGCTTCTAACACGGCCCGAATAGTGACATTATTGCGGAGGTACCCCTGCCACAGTCACACATCTTGGCATACGAAGACATGATGCCATATCCAAACATTCAGGTGGCTAAAGGGCTAGGCTTTGAGGAGCATGTGCTTCAAAGTTACCTCGCGCAGTTGTACCTGCGCAAGAGACTCAACCAGATCCACGGGATGCTATACAACCCAGAGAAGCCGCTGCCACTCAGCGCCACGACGGGGGCGCCTGGTGGCACCATCATTGACTACATCCAGGAGACGATCAACATGGACTTTGTGCCGCATGAATTCAAGTTTCAGCCTACCGATCCCCCGGCCGACGAAATTCTGTCTGCTCGATTGCGCGCGAAATACTGGGGGGCGAAGGTCATCACATACCGACCCTTTGTTCGCCAAATTCTCGAGTTCAACTTCCAGAAGATGTCCAACGAATCTCCCATGCCTGCGTCCGACTTCCGCTCTGGTGTTGTGGTGCCCGTCATTGGCCCTAACAACGACATCCCTCCACAGATGATTGAATACGCAGTGAAAGGGGTCGGGGCCTTGATCGAGAGTACCCGAGCGTTCCATGGCCTCAAGGAAAAGCGATATGTCGTGACTAACATTTTTGGAACTGCTCATGCGTAAGGACAACCCCCCTTCCTACCCTTATATTTCGGGCTGAAAACTCAGTTTCTAACTCGATATCTGACAGCCAATGGGGTAACCTTGTCACCCTCGCGGCCGTGTTCCGAGACCCCACGCTTCACAAATACATAGAGGAGCCAGTCCTCAAGGAGTTGTTCTTCAAAACCATCTCCTTCTTCAGGATCATCGCGCCCCCAACAAGCGCGCTACACGTCGATATGCGAATTTTGGAAGGCATCGAACGCAAGCTCTGGGGGACGTCTAGCAGCGCTGAAGCGATGGATCATCCAACCGGGTCCAGTTTGTCGAGCTCAGCAAGTGGCGTACCCATGGGCCCAGCGCCTTCGATGCCGCCCGTCGCGGGGCCGACCGGTCTGCGCTCTCCAGTTAATCGCATCAACAATGGGATGATGAGCATGTCCCCGCCATTGCCGTCATCTCTTCCGGTTACGATACCGGGAGCGATAGCCCCATTGCCTGTACCTCCCCCTGAGCCCAACCATGGGCCTCACCCGGGCATGCTGCCTCCAATGCAGCCCCAACCGCCTCATCATTGAGGGGCTCTTGGCGGTTTTGGGCGGCAGTTCTTGTTTTGTCTCTTGCACCTGGGGAAGTTTCTTTCTCGGCAACACATCTCGGCGTTCTTGGGAGTTTGCACCGGCCCCTTAGCCACAACTAACTAGCCTTATCTTATGCTGTATTTTTTTTTTTTTTTTTTTGGCCAACACCATAGACTAAACCGAGGGCGGCCGTCCTCGACCCCTCATGCAGGCCGCCCACAAAAAGCATCCTCTGTTACCATGCACCACCACCGTCGTGGAGAGGGTGTCTTTACACGTCTATTTCCATTTTCACCCCGACGAAAATGGGTTCGAAGCCACTTATCGTCTCGCCTCGGGGCCAGTTTCATAGCATTTGCATGGTCTTGTTCGATATGGGAGCGGCGGAGATACCACTATGTGCGAACATGTTTTGGTTGATTGGGTAGAGCGGGGGACGGAATGTGTATGGGGGAGAAGGTGGCGGCTATCTATTGTGGTTTTACCCTCTTGGTTTTTTGGCTGTTCAAAGGGAGGCTTATTCTACTCTGTGTTCACAACGAGGTCATTCCCCTGCTCCCGTCTCTATTTGTTTTGGCAGATTGAAATTCGGGACTTGTTTGGCCGTCTCGGAAAGTCAAATCCTCTTTACTATTTCTAATACATACAAAGCTTCTTGGTATAGGCATCTGGGTGGAAGCATGGCAGAGGGTGTGCGAATTGTGTGTCTCTCTCAGGAACGGGACGAAGGGGTGTTGTATGTTGGAGGAAAGGGGGATAAAGGACGGTGTGCGTAGACGGCGGAGATACATACACGATGGATGGGTTGCCGTTAGAAGAGCCGCTTGCCGTCGGATGATGGACATTCGCCAGGGTTCGGGATATCAGAGAACACAAATGCATATATATATTAGAGAGCGATAGCCCGCTCCCATGCAAGAAAGCAGAACAGAACTGCCGTCACATCTAACACCCGATCCGATCTCTTGCACCATGTGTTTTGTCTCCGGTGTGCTTCTGTGTACATCTGTAACGCAACATTTGACCTTCATAATAACACGACACAAAGACACAGCCATCCATCGGGATACGCGGCCTCGCGCATCAGCTCCTCGAGCGGCGCTCTAAAGGGAACGGGGCCGCCATGAAGTATCACATTCGCCAAGACAGGGTCCCGACTGCTGGGGAAGAGAGTGGGGAGCATGCTCTTGAGAGCGGCGCCCAACGTTTGCGGAGCCCCTTTCGTTACCACCATGCCGTGTCAGCCATTCTGAAATGCTCCCTAGTGGGAGGCTAGGGATAGGGAAGGGAAGATTCGTGGGGGGGGGGAAGGGGTCTGACGTACTATTGGGTAACCGTGGAGACACCAAATTCTGAACTACCTTGAAGGACCCTGGCGTGGCGTCCCCGGTGTCGTTGGGGGAGGAGGGGATGTAGATCCGTATGGGGACATTTTTAAATGGAGACGGTGTGTTAAGCAGCCGTCTGTTAACCTTGCCGAAGGAGACATGATCATCTGGCCACCACAGAGTGTCAGTTAGTTCCCTTTGTGCGTCTCAGGCGCATAGACGAGATGAGAGCTCCAAGAGGAGCCGGCATGGAAAGGAGTAGCACATACTATCTTGGACAGCATTCCACAAGGCGGTGCTGTGCTCCTTGGACAGACTCATGATCTGCTTTGCATTACCATTTCTCACAAAGTCCGCCTCTTTGGCCGAGTTGGTAAATGTATCGGCTATGTCCCACTCCGGGCCGTCGCCAACCACCAGCCTCCACGGAAGGGTGGCGGGCTGGTACAGGTCGACCAGCAGGCCCACAGCCAGGTTGCGCAGTTGGATCTCCTCGTGGTGGAAACTCGAGCACGGCAGGCCGTAATAGGCCGTCAGGCGGGGCAGCAATAACGCCAGATAGCTGAATCGTGGGACCGACACGATGAAGGGGGCGGTGGATTTGGATGCATGGGTGATGTGCAGGGGCACCTGCAGGCTCCAGAGGGTCTGGGGGAGCGGTGTAGCTGCGGCACTGGGAGTATCGGGGGCACCGGTAGTGCTGCCCACTAGGCGGTGATCGGTGGACGCCGGTGGTGAGGACATTGTGTTGTGTGGCTATCCTGCCCTCCAGTATCTATTGCACAGGCACAGTGAAGGTGCTTATCACTGTGTGTTGCCTCCACCCTTTAGACGTTCTCGGAACTCTCTCTAAGGCGGGAACCGATATTGGCACTGATGGCTCGAGATACGGAGGAATATTGAACCAGGGTAAGCACGGCAACCACTTTGCCGTTGCATGCTACAAATCGATCGGGCTCGACAAATGGTTGTGGGGCGGGTCAAGGCCCAAAACTCCGGGTCGATGCAGCTGGTCGATCTAGGCAGGGTAGGGAATCAATCTCATCCGCCAGTCGACAGAAGAAGCGCTGCAGCCGCTCTGACACAAGCAAAAAGCCCTCTTAGGCCGGCACCAAAAGCATTGCTAGAGTGTCGAGTCAAGCTCCATTAGCGGGGACTGCCCCGACTGCGGGGTAGCTCCTTTTGCGAGGCCCCGAGGGGCCGTCAAGGTGGGGTGTTTCGAATCCAATCAAGCCGGGAGGGCACTGCGCAGATCCACCGTGCAGCTTCCACTGTGCCCCCCGTACCTTCCAAGTCCAAGCAGTTCTGACTTCCTGGCTCGAGTCTGGCCAATCTTGCAGGTTTGTTCGGAAGTGCAAGTGATGATGCAGGCAAATGTTGGGCCGCACTGTCCCGCCGGTCGGGCAAATCCCGATCGCTCGATGCAGGTTGGGCTTCCAATCACTTGTTGGCCAAGTCCCGCCCCCAAACGCCCCTAGATATTCCGGAGATGCCCGGCAGCCCAGTGAAGGTCCAGCGAGAGAAGAGAGCATTTGGCCCAGGACCAACTCCGCAATGCTTCGCTAGGCTAGTATGCAGGTATCGGCTGCTCTACCACATGTGCAACCCGGATGACCTGTCTTTGGCCCACGTTGTGCAAACGCGCCTTCAATTACTCCCGGGGATTCCCAACCACGTGGGTTACTTTTATATATCTCGTAACCCCTCGTCCGGGTATGTGGTGATAATTGCAACACCGAGCCCGGCCTATTTCGGGATGCAGCGACCGCCACCGCACGGGAGAAGCCCGTCCGGCATGTTTCATATGCACGCCGCAGCTGACACTCTCGTCCTCTATCCGCTTAGTCTATGTATAATTTGTACTGTGTAAGAATGCTGCTGCCAGCTGACCTCCTAGCAGCATACCCGCACTCGGGAGCAAGGCCGGCGGCCAGATGTGACAAACGCTCGCAGACATGCAGAAGACACCCGGGGCAAACCAACAAAAGCAAATATGTATTCTGCCGCATTCCGTCACGGCTAGGAGCATCACAGCACGCACGATGCTGACGCGACAGGTCACAGCTCATAATCCGCTAAGCAAGCTCGGCCAGTAGGCAGCGGCGGCCATGTGACACTGAAAGCCGCGACAGCCATTTCGCAACTCGGTCCCCGAGCCGTCTTGCTCTGGATGCCGCCGGGATGCTCGGTGCGCGCTTCGACCTGGCTCGTTGTTCTGTCTGGCCTGCTTTAATGGTTCCATGCAACCCACGAGAAGCCAGCGCCCCATTTTGTGCCACCCCAGAGCTTATCGGGTAAACTTGGGGTGCACAGCCCCTTACCAAGGTCCTTACCGTGCATATGTGCATCCTGCGTCGACAGGACGGCGCAGGCAAACTCGGGTTCCGTGGTTCGGCTGTTGCGGGTGGCGGGTCTAATACTCCGGCTCGAGTCCGGGCATCATGAAGCCGAACGCAGTATGGCTACCCCGTATGCATGGTTAACAAGATGTTTTATTTGTTCCACCCGGTTTTTTTTTTTTAAAAAAAAAGCCTCCCCCTTGGTATCGCATATCCGAGTCGTGATGGGCGACGCCCACAACCCCCAGCCTGTCTAATATTCGCGCCTGCGTTAAGAATGAGAAATAAACATAGCCAAGAAACCAAGAGAGGAAACACGGAAGGAGAGGGCTTCGAGGATTAACCCCCGCCGTATCCCTCCGGTCAGCATTTTGCAGAAAATGCTTGGAGATATCCCACCGCCCCATTACATGCAGTTAGAAGGTACAATGAATGGCTATAAAAATGTACAAAAGAAAGGCAGGGCCACCACCGAGGAGCCCATCCCAAAGCTGGGCGTCAGAGAATTGCATTAGGAAATGCTGGGCTTCTTCCTCCTACCAAACACCTTGGATATACCGTTCGCTTCGTCTCTCTCCGCCGGCCCGGGGAACTGGTTCGCCATCGGTGTTGCGCCAGGCGGCGGAGCCGAGTTCTTTAGGAAATCGGCCAAATCTGACGTTTCCCGACTGGACATTGAGGTGGCCTCGCGAGGTTCAAACTTTTTCATCGGCACCCGCCCTCCAGTAACACCTGGACCCCCGCCCATCATGGCCGCCGCCTTGGATGAAGTCCGGGCTGGGTGAGCGTAGTTCGGGGCGCTAGGTATGTTCACCTGGATAGGGACGTGGCCACCCTTGGCCCCGCTAGCCCGACTATTGATGCTCCTAGACTCAGTGAGCTTAGGGCTAGAAGAATGAGCTGACGCCAAAGTGCTCGATTGTGTGCTATCCCGTCTCGTAAATCTGGCCATCAGACTTGACGCACTAGCCTTCTTCTTTGGCTGGGACGCGTTCCGTGTCTGCTTGATGTTGAAGGGTTGCACGGTTGGCTCTGGTGGCGGCGCGTAGTTGTTTAGGAAATCGATCAGGCTCTCCTCCTGACCCTGGCCCTTCTTCTTTGGCAACGGTGCCGGCTCCTCGTCGTCTTCGAGTTCTTCATCGCTCAGGTCGATCGCGTACGGGTCGAGATTGCGGCGAGTTTTGCGCTTCGGCATCTGCATGTCGCTGTCTGTCGTAACATATGACATAGGCTTGTTCTTAGCCAGCAGAGCACTGTGGGAGTTGATAGAGGACTGGACGGAAGGTGGCACCGAGGATTCGGTGGCGTTTGTGGAGCCTTGACTGCCCCTGAACTCGATATCCCTCAGTTGGGCATCCACGGCTCTGCCTCCAACCGCCGAAGACAACTGATCCGAGTCCATGGTGGTCCGGAATGGAGCAACAGTCCTCGGGATACGCGGGTTGCCCGTGCTGCTCGGCGGCCCGCGTCGGATGAAATCAATCAAGTCGGAATTGTCGTCCTTGTGGTCGACGGCCGCACCGCGAGGTTGGAGCTTCGGCCGGTTGGGGTTGCTTGTCGTGGACATCCGGCCAGTCTCGACACTGAGATTGGAGACAGACCCGGGGTTTCGTACCCTTCCTGGTCTTGCGGTTCCAGTGATAGAAGTGGAGCTACCGCCAGGAGGACCGGTCGATCGGATGAAGTCGGCAAATTCAGCCATAGACTCACGGGCGAGCCTCGGGTCTCTAGCCTGAGGCCCATTCGTGGATCGGGGTTTCGACGGCACCGGGGGAATAGATCGTGGAATGACACCGCCATGTTTACCTGTGCTGGTGCTGAAGTTCCTGTTCGTTTGGTGCACGTCGGTGATGGAATGCGATCCCGACCCCGGCGAACGAGGTGCCGATGTTGGCGTTCTCGCGCCGTTTCGGGGGACAGAGGACGAACGGGAGCGGGACCCGTTTCGGCGAACCTCTCCGCTCTTGCGCGTCTTAACCGAGACGGCTGGGCTAACAGCGGCGACCGATCGACCTGGTTGGGATTGGGGCTAAGTTACACATTAGAACTGTTTTAATCATCACACCATGGCACAAGATAAGACGGGGATAAGCTCTCCTTACCTCAAGGTCACGCATGCTTTCAGGAGTTAATGTGTACTGTATCGTTTGGTCGCTTTGGATGAGTTCTTCAAAGTCGCGTACGACGTCTATACGGGCTTGCATGCCCTCTTCCGAGGTCCGAACCGCTTTCAGTTTGGTCGATGACGGTGAGTCAGACGAAGCTTGTTGCCGGTTTCGTCCCGTTGAGGACTCGCGAGGCCGAGAGGAGGATCCCTGAGACGGACTGCGAGCACGAGAACGCTCTACGGACACCTGGCCGATAGTTGCAGGCTGGCGCAGAGCAGACGTGTTGGCAACGGCTTGCCTCCCTGCGCTTCGTTCTGGGACAGCAGGAGGCTGCGTGGAGGGAGAGGAGCGATACTGATGGCTGTCTGATCGAGGCGACCCTGTAACTTCTCTCCCCTCTGGCAACACCGGCATGGATTCAATGAAAAAGGTACCGCTGGTTATCGACGCAGTTGACACAGGCGAAGACGTGGCGGGCAATACGCTGACTTTTGAGATAGGTTTGGGGGGCGTGGAAGGCTCCGGTATATAACCATCCGCGGCCGTATCCACTGATTCGTACCGGTCCTTTGTCACTGGCTCTGGGACGGTCGGCAGGCTAATTCCTGCTCGAACAGCGGGAGTGACAGGTGTGATCGGTGAAACAGCATAGTTCCTATCGGTAGGCTCTTCAGTCTCGGAAATAGAGGCGCTTGCCACCAGCCCAGACCTAGCTCCCTGACTGACAGCCAACCTGCCACTTGAGCTGCTATCAAAAAGCTGCTCTGATCGATCCTCTGGAGCCGGCGGGGTGACCGTGCGACTGGCGCGTGACGGGCTGGAGTGGCGGGCCGACTCCGCAATGACGACCGAATTGCGTCGCGAACCCACCGCCGGACTACGGGGGCTGGTTACTTCGATCAAACGGGCGGAATGTATGCTTGGCGTGCGAACCGGCAGGTTGGTGTTGATGGCAGTAGGCTTTCCAGGCTCGGAAGATGTTGTTGACGGACTTCGGCCGAGGATTGAAACCCTCGATGATCTGACGATTCGTGGTTCTTCAATAGACACCTCGTCGTCATCATCATCCCTCATGTCATCCTCCTCGGCGGCTTTTTCGCCGTCAACGATCCCACCCTTGACTGTCGAGGCTTCGGCGGCCGATGTTTCCGATGGTCTTGTTGCTGAAATCGGAGTTGCAATATCGGCTGAGTCAGGATCTTCCGTCGTAGGGGGGTGCATTTCGCTCGACTCCCCTGGCTGGGGTTTGACGACCGTGGCAAAGCGGGCGCGAGAAACCGCTGGAACTGAGTTTGAGCGTTTACGGGCCACCTGCGGCCAGGATGGGTTGGGTGCCAGCACGTCGGGTATCGCGCCCATTGATAGTATTATCATACTCTTTGGTCGAACCGGCGCGACTTCCTCTTCCGCATCAACATCCTCGCCTTCGTCGTCGCTATCAAAAGCAAGACCAGGAACCTCAATTTCTGCAACGTCATTCGGCCCCAGAGGTAAAGGTATGTCGGCTGCAATTATGTGATCTTCCAAGGATTCCCGAGAATCCGGATCTTCATCCAAAGGATCACTTGGCGCTTGTTCGGCCGCCGCGCAGGGTCTAGCATCGGACTCTGCATGAGGCTCAGGAACGGTGGCTGGAACGGCGAGCTCGGCGGCGCTGCTAGGGGAGCGCAAATGACCAGATGCAGAGTGCAGAGAATCCCTCGAGTAAGATCTAGCTAGGCGATCCATGGAGCTAATGCCGGGCGACCGGATCTTCTTCTTCCACGACCGCCAAAGTCGACCCAGCGTTCGGTCGAGCGCGACACGCTCCATATCGAGGTCTTCGACCACGATCTTGTCCGCAACACCCGTAGGGCTCCGCGAGCCTTCCTTGAGCTCCTTGTCATATTTGGAGCGCAGGCGGTGATAGGCAGCTTGGCCGGCGACAATTAGAGCCTGTTCGCCCATGAATTCCAGAATGGACGTCAAGAAGATGGCGACAGCAGGTGAAACGGCCTCGAACAACTGGTCATCAGGGGCGGTATCGAGATGCCCTTGCTCCATGTAATAATCCTCATCCTCTTCCTCCATGTCTCCCAGCGATGAATAGACCATGCAGCGGAGGCGGGTCCTTTTCCAGGCCAATTCCAGATCCCAATCAGACGGCGATCCAGGGTCGCGAGCGTGCGGCTGGTTGCCATCTTCATCGTCCCCACCGAGATATTCTCGCAGTTCCTCGTCGGCCTGGTTGACGGCGTCCTTGGCGAGTTTAGGCTTCAACACCTCGGCCACGGCCGGGCGCAGCGCGGAGAGCGTGGTGGTGCGCGAAACGCAAAGGAAGTTGAAGAGCAACTGGTCCAGGAAGTTGTTGATCAGCTGCAACGCGGCGGGCGATACGATAGCGGGCTCGCCTGATGGCTCGATGCCATGCTGGTCGTACCATGTTTCGGCATGGCTGTCGTGGTCGTTGGTGACAATCTGCGAGGCGGCCGATGAGGCGATGAAAGCCGGTTCAGGTGACACTGACAGCGGAGGCGACATCAGGCTATGTGCGACGGTCGACGGCCGGTCGCTGGATATGCTTTGTGTCCTCGACCGCGACGGCATCCTTTGAGGAGGAAAGGCCACGCCCGAAGAGGGTCGGGATGCGACCGGTTCTAATGGGGAAGTCATGGGTGGCCGTGGCAAACAGGCGCCGGGCCCGACACAGTGTATTCCCGGAATTACGGAACTCTGCGCTGCTGCCCTGCTGCAGGCGTCAACCGCCAATTTGGGTTGTTGAAGGGTGTGACGGGACCGTGACAACGCCACGCATTCGATTTACTTCTTCGTTCCGGCGTACAGGGCTTCAAATGCGGGCGGCCGGCCGGCAGATGCGTTGCGTCGGGTTGCGGTGCGGTGTCGTTATTAGGGGGGGTTGCTGTATGTGTGGCCGGGAGAGGGGCCAGACTTGAATTGGACCGAGGGATTGGATGCCGGAAATCGAGCATGCGAGCCAGGCAACGGAGTTTCGATCTCGCAGGGCTGTGACAGAAAACTATAATCTTTGTTAGCCGATCGGATACGATTCGCTGGCCGGCGCAATTGCGGGCGGCGGAACTGAAACAAAAGCGACGCTGGGGACTCGAAACTCGACAGAACAGGAAGGCGGGTACAGAAGATTCCCGTGGCAGCCGGTAGACGAATGCGGCCGGGGGCCCTCCGGGTCCCGATGGTTGGACATGTTGAGAGACTGCGGGCAAGTGGCACATCACGCAAGCCCCGAGTATTGCCGTACAGGCACAGACAAAGACCAAGGTCAGACGTCCACGCGGCACCAAACCGTGTCAGCACTGCGACTTCAGTTTGGCGGCACTGGCGCATGTGTGAGGCGATCGCCAGCCTCAGTGGTCATCACCGGGCCCCCATGCCGAATGCCACGGGAAGGGAAGCATGTGCGAGGGGAGAGCCGACAGGACACGGTATTGCCTGCCAGTGGGAGCTCCCAACGCAAGCGGGCGACGACAGCAAGGACAAGCGTTGGCAGGGGCAGCTGCAGTTGTTGGAGCTGAGAACCGGGGGAGAAGCGCTCCTCGTTCGGCAGGAGAAGGAAAACATGATACGCACCTGCGAGGCGACTTCTCACTGCCAGGCCACTGGCAAACCTCCGTCGACGCCACTCATCGACAGAGAGATTGGTGCTCGGCTGGGGCTCGGTTGGTGTTGCACGAGCAGGATAGAAGGAGGCGTTTGCTGGATATTTCGGCGCAGTAAGGCAGGTCGCTGGCACAGCGGTCGGAGGTCGCGCGGATTCGCTATTATTCGACGCTGCCGGTGTAGATAGAAGATGGCAGCAGCTACGGTCGGTTTCAAGGCGTCACCAACAACTCAAGTCAAGTTGTTCCGTCGTCCCTTTTTCCGATGGAGTTGAGGGAGATTTCCCACTCTCCTGAGGTGTTCCCAGCCATGGGGGTACACTAGGCCCAGGGTTTGACACGGCCAATTGACGACCCCGAGAGCGGTTTAGTGCACTGAAAGGGGGACGTTTTGGGATGAATTCCCGGTTGTTTGAGTGGGCGATCTATCCCATGCGCCGGCAAGGGGTGCGGTCTTGGCTCTGGCGATCCTGGAAATGGCCCGGCTGGCTCAGCAGGGGTTGAGGTGGGTCCTTGCGATACATAGTAGACAAGACCCGAGCATTGATATTCCAAATCTTGCGGGAGGAGTTGAATAGGTGCCGCCTGAGCTGGGATTCATATTGGTTGAACAGATCCTAGCCGCACTTTACAATGCGGGCGTATTCTGGTGTTTCTATGCGGTCGGTAGGAGGGGCAAGTTGAGTGCAGAGAAATGGCGATGAAAATATAAGTGGGGTGGTTGTCGGTGGAGGTGGGATCGGTGCAAACGGATCCCTGCAGCTCTCCACACTGAAATTTCGGGCCCCCCTCGAGGCGGCATGGAGCACAAGCGAGCTTCGAGAACCTGTCGGTCACTCTAAACCGACATGACTCGATCGATGAAATTGTAGCGCAATTAACTACGTATTTCACTGACTTGCGAAATTGATGACACACAAAAAGGCAGTCAGACGATGTAAATAACAAGAGGGGAAGCCCAACATGAGATCAGGTGGTCAAAGTGTTCCTACCCTCGCAAGAATGTCGTGTATGCGGGGGGTGAGACATACCCGCAGACGGCCACAGTCAAAAAGCTCTGTGCGCGGCGTGGGTTGTGCAATTGTCTCGGCCATCAACAACAACCAGCCCATGGAAACTTGGATCACCTCAGGGCACAGGCACACACAAACATGTTTCTGAAAATAACGGCATGATAAACACCGTAGAATGCCATAGCCTACTGAAATACCTATATCAACGTGGTAAAAGGAAAAGCCGACAAGGGAGTATAGTAATGGTAGTTACTCGTCTCTGGCATAGATTTGCTACCTCGTTACTTGGTTGTAATGTTGCTAAGGGTCAATGGCAACAAGACCGCTGTCTCAATTCGGAGTTGGGATTGAGATGCAACAACACCACGCTTATTGGGTCCATGATGTTTGAGAACTGCTTCGACCGGGTCATTTAGAACAGCCCGAGAATCGTATGATAGTCTGGTTCACTCTTCGCTTTTATCCGGAGACATTTCCCTGGTGTGATCGACGGGTCGTCCGCCACATGATACCCATGAGGTGTTTTTGTCAATAAAGAGACCACGAATCACAAAAACCCCCAAAGTCAGGATGCCCATTAACTTATATTCGAGCGACCTACATAGCCTGTTGAGAGTCATATTGTGATGTCCGCGGTTGCGGATACGGTATGGTTCAGGATTTTCATCCACAACAGCAAAATAGCTCTCCTGCTTCAACCCCTAGCATTTTCATGCCTGTGTTTCCACGCCTGCCTGATCCCCACTACAGTACCCAAAGTACACCAGCGATAGAGATAACCACGGCCATGCCCTTATTACCGTGCAGGCTGACCCCACCGTTGGTAACGACACGCTTGGCGTTTCGCTGTTCTGCCTGCTGGTGCTTTGCCTCTTGTTTCTTGAAGATAAATCGACGGGAGTGTGGTGAGCCGTGATGGCCGTGATAGCTGTGATGGCCGTGGTGGCCATAGCTGCCATGTTTGTG